TTGGAGCTTATTAAACATTTACAATTGTTTAGCCATGAGACACTACAAGAATCATTGAATCAGAGAGCGGCTTGGGCTGGAAAAGACCTGAGAGTTTATCCATTTCCAATCTGCCTGCTGTGCATAGGGTTGCCATCCATCAGAACAGGCTGCCCAGGGCCTTCTTAATCACCCTGAGGGTTAAAGGTTCGTGAGGTCTGAGTGGGCAAGACCAGCTCAATTGGCAGATCTCCAAGCACTGACTAGCCAGGAGGCTTTTGCTGAACGTGTCCCAGTGTTTGAATGTTCCAGCATCCACTGCTCTCAGCATAGCCTTCAAGAGTCCATTGCGTAATTCGGTGATCCTGAAGCTGGTGCACGATAGGAGATGTGATATGCTCATTCAGTGCTGTGCTCTTTGGCCCATGTGGTTATGAGATTGTTTTGGAAATGAGTCCCATCACATGATTCCATTCTTTCTGGGGTAATGTTAGCACAAGACTTACTTTCAAGACCCAGGGTAGCATTTCAGGTGGTGGCATGGGATTTGTTTCAAGCCAGCCAGTGGTTGCTTCCACCATTGTAGCACACAGCGTTTGCCATGGTGTGTTTGTGGGACTGTGATCCCTAACTGCCATGCATCTTCATACTTGTATTTCAGTTGTTGTCCTCCATACCAAAGAGGTTTTATTACCTTGCAGCCCATGTTTCACATTCACAGATACAGTGTGCCACAGCATCCATAGTCATGTCCACCCCTCATTTCCAAGCCATCTATACGTTGCAGCTCTTCCTTGGTGGCCTGGTGTGACATGGGCCCACCAAGCTAGAAATAATTCACCCTTATTTTGCCTCTCCAGTTCTACCTGAGCTGTCTCAATCCTAGTGGCCCAATCCACCTGCTGGCTGTTTTGATGTCCTTCAGTTGCACGACTCGTGTACGTGAGCACCTACATGATGTACTTTTACAACCTGAATGCCCAGATCTCTTTTTTTCTGGCAGTTTGTTATACAACGGAGACTCTTCAGCACATCACCTTCTCTTCTGGTGATATTCCAAAATCTTTGCCTTTGGGCCAGTCCTTAAGATTCTAAGATTCCTGGACAACTATGGGATTCCCTGTTTGAGCCCACTGTGTGAGGGGTGTGACCCATTTACTCCACTTAGCATCAGCAGCATGATGTGCGGAAGGGACACTTCCTTCAAACATCCAGCCCAGCACAGCCAGTCAGGGTGTCAAGAGGAGTTGTGCTTCAGTACCAGACATTTCCAAGCTGCTTGGACACTTCATATGCTGCAGATATTAATCTGCTTTTCAATTGCAATATAGTGGGCCTCACATCCTATGTATCTCTGGCTCCAAAACCACAGGGGCTTACCTCAAGTCTCCCCTGGAGTGTTCTTTTTTGTTACTTGGTGGGGACATAGCAGTTATTTTATTGATCACATCTTTGAGGGTTTGAAAACATCCATCTTGCCATTTTGTTCCTAAGAACTGGATCTCCTGTGCAGGTTCCTTGACCTTACTTTGCTTTATGGCAAAACTGGTTTTCAGAATGTTTTGAATTATTTTCTTCCCCTTGAGGATGCTGAGCTCGGTAGGCATGGGCCAGGTCCCAGCATGCTGCAGTGATTTATGTCTCCTTAGGATTGCCAGGGTGATGGCAGTCCTTTTCCAAATATTCCACTAGTTTTTCATGATTCTGCAGCTGTTCAGAGTGAAGTTTCAAACCTCTGGCTGTGTTCATTGCTCTACGCACCTGCTCATACCACCCCAGCCACTCAGATCTATCCTGTGTCAGGGCAGAGATCTCTGGGTTATTTTTAAATACTTGTTTAAACTTAAACATAACCTGAAACACATTCACAACACATTGCAATAGGAGCATGCTAATTTGAACATCCCACAGATATTCAAAATTCTCAAGAGCTATTGTAACTAATCTAGGGAAAGGAGGAAAATGAAAGAGAAAGGGATGCTGAGGAACTGCTGGAAAATGTACTTCCTTATCTCCTTATAGCTGGGCTCCCCAAGGAGACAAAGCAAAGTGTCCAATAACTAATAGCCTCCACAAAGTGGTTTCTGAAACCCAAAGGTGACTGCAGTGCTGAGTACACACACGTTATACCCTGCATAATCTATGTTGAAATGGTTTTGGACCTGCTCCAAAAGCTGGACACTCACAAGTCCAGATGGGGCCAGATGTTCTGCACCCTAGAGTGCTGGGGGAGTTGGTGGATGTGGTTGCCAAGCTCTGGTTGCCAAGACTCTCCATCATCCTTCAACAGTCCTGGCTAACTGGGGATGTTCTGGTGGACTGGAGACTGGCAAATGTGATGCCCATCTTCAGAAAGGGCCAGAAAGAAGATCCTGGTAGCTACAGACCTATCAGTCTCACCTCGGTGCTGAGGAAGTTTATGGAACAGATAATCTTGGGAGCCATCATGGACCAGTTAAAGGTCAACCAGGGGTTCAGGCCCAGTCAGCATGGGTTTATGAATGGTAGATCCTGTCTGACAAACCCGATTTCATTCTGTGACAAGGTGACCTGTGTAGTGGATGAAGGTAAGGCTGTCAATGTAGTCTACCTGAACTTCAGTAAAGCCTTTGACACTGTCCCCCACAGCATCCTCAATGGAGAAGCTGGCTGCCCATGGTTTGGATGGGCATATGCTCCACTGGGTGAAACACTGGCTGGATGGCTAGGCCCAAAGAGTTGCAGTCAATGGAGTTAAACCCAGTTGGTGGCCGGTCACGAGTGGTGGCCCCCAGGGCTCAATACTGAGGCTGCTTCTATTCAACATCTTTATTAATGATCTTGATGAGGGGATTGGGTGCATCCTCAGTAGGTTTGCAGACAACACCAAGTTGGGAAGGAGTGTTGATCTGCCTGAGGAGAGAAAGGCAGTACAGAGGGAACTGGATAGACTGGATCAGTGGGCCAAGGTTAACTGCATGAATTTCAATAGCGCCAAGTGTTGGGTCCTACATTTCGATCGCAACAACCCCACGCAACCCTACAAGCTTGGAGAGAAGCAGCTGGAAAGCTGCCTGATGGAAAGGGACCTTGGTGTTCTGATGGACAGTTCGCTGAATATGAGCCAGCAATGTGCCCAGGTGGCCAAGAAAGGCCAATGGCATCCTGGCTTGGATCAGGAATGGAGTCGTGAACAGGACTAGGGAAGTCATCCTGCCCCTGTGCTCAGCACTGGTGGGGCCTCATCTCCAGTATTGTGTTCAGTTTTGGGCACCTCAGTACAGAAAGGACCTGGAGGTGCTGGAGCAGGTCCAAAGAAAGGCAACAAGGCTGGGGAAGGTCTTGGAGAAAATGGCCTAGGAGGAGAGACTGAAGGAACTGGGGCTGTTTAGTCTGGGGAAAAGGAGGCTGAGGGGAGACCTTACTGCTCTCTTCCAATATCTGAAAGGGGCTTACAGCGAGAGCGGGGTTGGTCCCTTGTCATTGGTGACAGGTGACAGGACGAGGGGAAATGCCCTTAAGTTTCACCAGAGTAAGTTCGGGTTGGGTATCGGGAAAAACTTCTTTACAGAAAGGGTTGTTAAGCACTGGAATGGGCTCCTGATCCCTGAATGTGTTTTAAAAACTGTTTAGATGTGGTGCTCAGGGACATGATTTAGCGGTGGGTTGTTAGAGTTGGGTAGTCTGGTTAGGTTGCGGTTGGACTTGATGATCATTAAGGTCTTTTCCAACCTGAGCAATTCTATGATTCTCTGATGAGTTTCTCAGCAGCTATTTTTATCATGATGTAAGCCAAGACCACAGAGTGTTCCTCAATCCCATCCCCAGAGCTGACAAACGATGCAGAAGGGAAAATAAACAGCAAGCAAGGTGCTACACAATATATTTCCATGAGAAGATTCTCAAAAAGCTCCAAATTAACACTGTGACCAGCAATTATCAAACTAGCACAGCACCCTGTGTTAATATGGTCAGGTCAGATCTGCTGTTATTTCAACCCTTCAAGCTCTGTGCTGTGTGCCAAAATGACTGCAGTGGCTCAACCAGACAGATGGCTCAGCACCACACAGCCACTCGCCCACTAACCCCTTCCCAGTGGGTTGGGGAGAGAATCCGAAAACAAAGCACAACTTGTGAGTTGAGATAAAACTATCTACTAGGGAAAAGGATAATAGTTGTGACAAATGTATGTATGCGAATGCATATAACAAGTGATGCGCAAGCAATTGCTCACCACTTGACAAACAGTGCCCAACTGGGCTCTGAGAAGCGGGAGAGAGAGAGGTGAACTCCCACCCCCTTCAAATCTCTTCCTGTATGATGTCGTAATGGTGTGGAATACCATTTATGTATCCCTTTGGCCAATTTAAGTCAGTTGTCCTAATCCTGTCCCAGCTGAAACTGAGACATCTTCTTTTCTGATGTCTTATGAATTCAGCAGTTCTTCCCAGCTATATGGACTGGGCTCAATTTTATGGACTATGTTATTGTCTGGATTAGGTCTCATCGTTCACTAGTTCTCTCTGAGAACCTATTCACGATCAATAAGCATTTATTTAGTGAGTAAAGAAAAACAGTTCATTTTTTAGTACAATAAGAATCAGTGAGATTCATCTGGGACAGGTGCTATTTGAATGAAAATATATCAAACTAATGAGGCTGAATTGCAGGTAAAAGTCAAAACTTTGCAAAAAGCTGAGCTTTGCATAGCAAAGGACAACGAGAAGCACATAAGCAACAACAACATTTTTCCTACAGAGGAAAAATGCCACAGAAAACCTCCCAGGTGTTCATTTGAACATCACGGGTATCAAATCTACTGTTTAGAGGCAACAATTCCTTTAATGAGAACAGTTGGCTACAGGTTTGTAATTTCAAATGCTGCAGATGTGCCTTCAAAAGGATAGAACTGCTTGAGCAGCCTCCTGTAGTGCCCGAAGTACTGGATCCTGTAGATGCCAGGCTCTGTGCTGCTAGGGATGTGCCATTCAATTGTCACATTGCTCTGGCCAGACGACCCTTTGGTCCAGTAAAATCTAGAGGGCAAGACCAAACTGGAATCAGCACGAAAATACATTTGCTTTAACATAAGATGAATGTGTTCCAGCTAAGTATATTTTAAGAGCTACTATTACCCTTTTGCTCATATATTTAGGCTATCAGAGCAGCAACCAGAAAGCCAATCCCAAGCTCTACAGGGTTGACAAGTTTTTAGAAAATGTTTGGCTGTGTGTAATGCCATGGCCACAAAACGCTGCTGTGATGGACCTGTGCTGATGGACCTGTGCCACCACCCTCTCTCTGTCCCACTCAGCAGACTCTGAACCAGGACCAACACCCCTGGGACCCAGGAACTAGAATTCAGCCTAGATCTCACCTGGGAAGAACTTTGGGCAGATGAGCTCGTCGCGATCTGGCCACCATTTATCTCTGTTGTCTGCCTTCAACAAAAGGCAGGGCCAGGCAAATTGCTGCCCATCCTCCTGAGCAGTGCCAGGGCAGCGATAACTGCCCACACTGCAGATGTGGGGTCTGGTCTGATGCTCCACTGTTGTGAACACCAAGACACAGCCCAGCAAGTCCAGAACACATTGAGCGTTAGAACACTCTCTCTGATGCCTGATGTTATATGCGGTGGGACGTCGCAATGCCAGAAGATCTCAATATGGATGTTTTCCACCTTCTTATTGGTTGGTGCGTGTGTTCTTACAGGTGCAGGGGAAGATTGGCAAATGCCTGGGTTTATTGTAGCAGGAGAGTAACTTCAAAATGAAAAGTTTGACCAAAGACTCCCTTGACATTTGTACTTTGTATACTGGCTTCTAGGATAGCTTTGAAAGGTGACATCAACTTTGCTGCATAATGGCTGTTTTTCCTCATGATTGACATCTCCAACCTTGATTTTCTTTTCTTATAGACTTTTAAAATTGATATCTGTTTCTGCTCTATGATGTACAACAAACCAGACAGTCTTCTATAAAAGCTTTACTGTTGTCTGGGCCTCTTATTTGGTATGCTATCCATTAGCACAATACTAAAGATGGATGGATGTAGGCTGTGAACAAATTGAACACTGATCCTGCTCCAATTCTTACTCTTCAGTATACCACTCTCAAATTTATAAGCTTTCATTGCAGAAGATATACCAAGGGGAAGGCTGAATGTTTTGTTCTGGACACGTTAACCAAACGAATGTGGACTGATGTATTCCCAAAGAGCACTGTCTGAAGGAACAAGACCAACCTAAGGTTGGATTAAACTCAAAGCCCATGCAGAGACTGCGAAGCAGTGTTAGGGACACAGACCTGGTGTCCCAGGAGGCATCGTTCTGTACCACCTGCCAGCTCCCTGTAACATTCATGTATCTCTCCACAGTGAGAAAGTTGTGTTCAGTCTGGAATAAAAACAAGAGAATTGGCCAGAGGCTGAGTGAACAGGCAAGTCCCTACACTTCTGTGTCATTTCAAGTGGAGAAGGCACTATGCTTCTGAACTTAAACTTACAAATGAAGTAGGGAATATGTAAAGTACTTGACCATTGCACAGGCAAGTTATTTGCGACCAGTTTCTGTCTTAGATGACTGATGGAGTGAATTATTTACATTTCAGATTTTCTTTAGCTAATTAAATGGATGCACTGAGCAGATAAGATGGAGACTAGAGTCCACTCTTGCTCCAGCTGGAGGGCATTTTATACTGGACTGTTGCATGGCATAAGTACCTTCAACTTCAATAGTGTGAATAGATCATGGATGATTTGTATATGACCTTGAGTGTGGGTTTCATATCTAATATGTCAAATACAAGCCAACATGGTCTCTAACAGACAGAAGTCCAAAATAAGGACTTTAATCCAAAAATATTCTGTTGGAGTGAACTCTCAAGGGAAATCCCTAAAGGAAAAACTGTCTTCTGAACTTGCAGTGAAACAAAAAGCACTGGAAGCACATGATCTTACTCCTTTCGAAACAAGAACATCAGTGAGTTAAATGCATAGGGCAGATGCACTAACTAAACGTTAACTAATCCTTAGCATCTCCAGCTCCAACATTTCTGTGTTATATTTACCGTGTTCTCTGCAGAGTTCCTGGGGTTTGCACCTACAAAAGTTACTGCAGCAACTTCTCCCTGAGGGGGAAATTGAAATTTATGTTAAAGTCTGAGCAGCACATTAATAACATCCTTTGAAGATGTCTTAAGAGTGTTTTGTTTGTTGTCTTAAAATAATTTCACTTGTTGCAATAGCAGTGAACAGTTTATATCGTGAACTGGCATTCCGTGCCTTCCCCTTTCCTGGTTGTTGGACAAACATCACAGCATGTACAATTTCTTTGTAAAAGACAGTAGGAAATAGGTCAGATTTTAAGAATAACTCCCTGCCTTCTTCCTGTCTTACTGCTGGACACTGCAATGAAATGAAAGCTCTTGCTCTGAACTCCTTATCTACATTTTAGGTATTGAGAACTCAACCCTTTCTAACATTTTTATTTCATTAACATTCCACCCCAGAAACATCAAAGGCGTCCTGATTTCTGCTTGTAAAGAAATCACTGTACAGTATTTGACCACTTCATTATCAACAGTTACTTTACGTAGAAGCAGAAGGGAGAATGTTCTTCATGTTGATTATCATAACGACTTAATTTTTCCTTAATTTTAACCATATTCAGTACAATTACATTGGTATGAAAACTCTGTCTCTCCTCTGCTACTCTGATCTGAAGAGTACTGCTGCTTTGGAAAATTGCTAGCGGAAATAAAACTTCATGGTCAAGGGGTAAGTTTGATTCGTTACCAGAAATAAGGAAGAAAGGAGGCATTTTGAAGGAGCTTTTAGAATTCCAGAGCGCTCTCTGACCTTGTGCACATGTGGAAGATACAAAAACGAAGTGCATGACACGTGCATGGATGGGTACAGCTAAAATCTGCCTTTTCACTCGTGCCCAAAAAGAGCAATGATGTCTTTTAGGTTTGAGATCACCACACAGTTTAGAAAATTCAGGCACTTTAGCAAGATAATTAAGCATTTAAAGATTATTTTCTAAACGGGTTTTAGCAAATGCTTGAAGTTCTCACCACTCGATACTGTGCGTTCACTTCTTGAAGCACATCCCCAAATGTCTTATTCACTGGTGCTCTATCGGGAGTGACAGCAGGCACCAAGGTCAGGCTGGTTATGTTGAAAAATGGGGGCTCAGGACCACTTGGCAAGTCCTGCACTGTGTTCTGTGGGAGGGAAGATGTGTTCATTATACGTCAGTCCATATAGCCACTCTCTCCATTATAGAATCATAGAATCCCAAGCTTGGAAAGGACCTACGATACCATCCAGTCCAACTGTCCTCCTATCACCCTTGCTACCGCAAGCCACTAAACCATATCTCGTAGCTCCTCATTTGAGGATTATGAATCACATCAGTGCTCTGGTTCCTTATCCAAATACATATCCAAGCATATGGCATATAGAAAATATTGATTACCGTAGCAATAGCCCTTGCAATTCCTCTGTACAACTGGATGTAAGCAGAAAGGGTGTGTGGTCCATAAATAGTCGATGCCGCCTCGTATCGTTGAACCTAGGAAAGGACAAAGTTGGAAAAGGGGGGGCTGAAAGGACTCTTGAACAGTGTGTGTGTCTCATCCAGCTGCACCAAGACAAGAACAGTACTGTACCTGCAAGGTCTTATTTAATGATTAATATTTAATTTATAATCCTTATTTAAATAGTTGGTTTCCTGCATCTCAATCACCTTATTGCTAGGGGACAGTCCCACTGCTAGCCCAGGTATTTCTGCTGTGACTTCAGGTTATTCTTCTTTCTCCTATCCATCACAAACAGGGAGAACCAGCTGTTACTCTTCTGTTTTTCATAGCTCTTTCACTCTCTCAAAGCCTTATAATTTTTTGCCTCTTACTCTTTGGTTTGGACAATCCCAGGTCTCCCTACATCTCCTCCCAGGTCAGTTTCCAGAATCTTGGAAATGGTCTGCACTTTGGCACTTGCACCATCTTGACTAGTCCAAAATAAACAAGGTTGTGTTGGGATTGTGGCTGCAGAATCCTCAGTTTTTCGTAGCAAAGGAAAAGTACTCTATGTGTGCATAATTTCACATGAATTATTATCCCATATAGGAAAATCTGAATCAGTTACCTGGTATTCTTCATAGGTGGTAATGTAATGCGTGTAGACATTACACAGACCCGCAATTACAACATCCATTCCTACTGTACCGTAAGAGCCAAATTCCTAAGAAGGGAAATAAATAAATCACTCATCTTTTATCAACTTCTTAATGCATGGTCATGTTATTATATTGTAATGTTATTATTTACCAGGGCAGATTACAAAGTTACAGTGGGTATGGGGCTGGATGTTCATGAAAGCCATACTGCAAGTGTATTAATGATTCTTTTTCACTTTCTACACAAAGAGAGGAAAAATGACCTCATGCTCCAGTGAATACAATTAGTTTAAGGGTGTTGTGAAGTCAGATATCTGTATTCTCCTAAATACCTTGGCAATGTAACAGTGTGAGATAGCCTCAATGTGTTGTGGGAGCAGTAGGCAAAATTAAGTATTCAGACCAAAATTGAGAATGAGATGTATCCACCACAAAAAGCTACCTTAATGGATTGAAATCTAATTAGTTTGCCTCTTGGGGAGCATGTTTGTTTCTCTTGTATATCAGTAAGTGCACACAATATGAGTGTGAAGGAACCATGAGAAGGAGAGCTCTGTAAGGCATGAGCTGGGAGGGGACGAGGGAAAGATCAGAAGGATCCAGAAATGTGAAGTTCCAGGTGCAGTGCCCCATCAGGAAGTCTCGTCTTTGACAACTCACGCTTTTAACAGCTTCCCGCAGCCTGCGTCCCGACATGGTCCTAGGGATGTTAAGGGAAAAATGTCAGCCTACAGAAACCGAGGAGACTTAAGCAGGAGTCACTTGTTCACCACACAGCACAGCAGGACAGAGGAGAGGCCACAAGAAGCTCATTGAGCACGTTCATTTCCATCTCATTCATTTATACAATGGAGAAGAGAATGGGAATCTCCAAGGAACCAGAGAAGACAGCATACAGGCAACTCAGTGCAGTGGATATACATATGTGGAGCCTGCAGAGCTATTGCGTATATGTGGGACAATTTTTAGCCTGCTCTCCTTTTCTACAATAGCAATGCTCTCAGCTGTGATAAGTGGAGCAAGAAATACGTACGTGAACTCTCCAGGAACAGCAACAATTGCCAATGACCCAATAGTAGCAATCTGAACATCTACAATGTCAGGGTGCCAGGGGTGAGGCCAAGTCATCTGAGACAGAAAAATAAGTTGATATGACTTTTATGGAAAAGTAGCAAAAAAAAACCAATCTAGCCCTGGCTTCAAGCCACCCCATTGCACAGACAACACCATTCTTGAACACCACTGAGCAGCATTTCAGCTTTAAAAAAAAAGCATTTAAAAAAAAATGAATGTCTGCCAAAAAGAAATTGAAAACAAGAACTTGAGAGTTACGTGGCTCTGAAAAACGAAATGCAGAATCCCACCCAATATGGCAGGCTCAGAGCACATATACTGCTCTGTTCTTACCTCCCCGGTGCTAAAGAGAACCGGCTTTGGTTGGTGGCAAGCCTTTGTTTCATTGGATGGCTCTCCCAGGAGCTGGTCTCGGATGTTGTCCCAAAACGGGTCCCCTTCTACTGAGCCTGGAGGAAAAACATCTCTTCAACACTACTGCTGCACAGCCTCTGCAGGAGCTGGCAGACAGAAGCCTCATTCATTGCCCACCCCTTCCTTGTGCCAAGTCAGCTGTTTCCAACCATTTCCTTTTCTGGGGTGGTTTGAAATGCCAGCTGTGCATTAGGGCAATGAGAAAAAATGGGAAGACTGCCCTGAAGCAGATCTTCTTCCTCCCCATTCCATGTTCAGAGCTCCCCTTCCTGCAGGGCAGGGCCACATCCTTCTCCAGGATCTCTCTAATGAGCACAGACAAGCTTGCATGGGCTTTAAGGCCACACCTTCCTCAAAGCACCACTTAGTGGAATTGGCTCAATGTGCTGTTGATGTTTTCTAAAGAAATAGTAGGATTTGAATCCAAATGGGACATGCCCCACCTCCTCCTCTTTTATGTGCATAAAGCCACATTGAAACCCACTCCCCAGATCACCTTGTGTGAAGTTGAAAGCCCCCACTCCATCTATGGTCCCTGCAGCAAAACTATGTCCCAAGGCTGGTTTGCATGTTTTAACCTTAATCAGAAGAGAGGGGAAAACAAAACAAAACAAAACAAAACAAAACAAAACAAAACAAAACACAAGAAAGAGATTTTAATGCCACTTCCCTCCAGTCTGTCTCATCACACTGTGAGAGCTCAAACCTTCTTACCATGTGCGTGGCATTGAGCCGCACCTGGACATCGCTCATGTTGACCCACTGGTGAGCGGAGAGCAGCGGCCCAGTGAGCTCCTGGGTAGCACTGGTGTACAGCTCCTAGAGGACATAACAAGTCAGCACTCCAAGCAGGACACAGTGCAGGGCCTGCTGGAGTGGGAGGCCTGATGAATAGGCAGAATTCCTTGAGGAAGGATAAATCGGGCATCCAGCCCTTCTGAGCTTCATCTAGAAGAGTCGTATCTCCACTCCCTGACATATTCCAGTGATGCCAGTAAGTGGCATGTGATGGTGTCCTGGAGCTCTTCAGGAGTCTCCAACATCTCTGGTTTTCCCACCTGATCTCTCTGAGCTGCATGCACTTGGAGGAACAACTGTAAGGGAGCAACACCCGCATTGTGCAGCAGCAAGGAAGAGATTAAGATCTCAGAAAAACATTTGCAAATTGCAAGGCCTATGACCAAACATCTAAATAGATATGTGCACTTTTTGAATAATAGGGAAATTTTCTTTAAGTATACTAACATGGATTTTGTAGAAATCTAAAAGAAAGAGCAAGTGCAAGAAATTTGCCCAGACTAATGCACATTTGTTTCTGTAATAAGAGCACTCGGGCACATTTGTAAAGCAAAACATCACTCACCTTTGCTTTCAAGTAGATATTTTGTGCAATAATTCTTGTGCTGTCGAACATGTCAGTGCCAGGTCCCATGGCCATACACATTGATGCCTGTTAAGAAATGTGCTTAAATGATAGTGGCCCGTTAATATGGAGGGCATTTTGCTGCCAAGCGGGTGAAGGCAAAAGTGATTTTCTTCACATGGGAATTAATAGCTTCTTGTTAGCCACCTAAAACGTAGGAAATTGGGTTACAGCACTACTGCAAATTCACAGCATGACACATTTGGATCTGGGCTGCCTGGCCAGAAAATAGGGAGGACAACACATGTTATGTTTATTGAAGGGGTGCCCAGAGCAGTCTCAAAGGGGCTCTTTACATGCAGAATTGTAGGAAAACACCACACAGTGCTGCATGTGCAGTTCCAGTTCAAGCTTTCTTTTTTGTCATAATTTATGTGGATCAAGCAATCCATACATACCCCCCCAACAGGACAGGTGCTCTGTGGGTTATCACACGATTCCCCTGTGTTTATGCAGAATGGACCTTTGGTGTTGGGAGACACATCCCCCAGGTTGGAGGATGCAAAGGCAGCAACAAAAGAGCCCTGTAAAACAGAGATATTGTCAGATGGGTTTTACTGACTTGCAGTGATTGCAGACATTGCCTGCATTCTTTCTTTTGGGGCTGCAAGCGTGCAATTTAACTCTTCCTTCCATGTGGCCCTGCATCCCCAGCTCTGTGTGTTACTGATCACGCTCATTGCAGCAATCTCATCCAGGTTTTCATTCTGCTAGGCTTTCACCATGACAGATTTATAGGGTGAGAGCCAATGGGTACGGGTGCAGGAGGTAAAACGTCGAGAGCAGCAAGGCTGGGTGCACACCAAGTGTGGCTGAACTCAGCTCTCAGCTCATCTTCTTGTTTCCCCCCTTCTGGAGATGGCATGTGTCAACAGCATCTATTTTCTTAACTTATCACCTCTTTAGTTATTTGTGAGACTGCTAGACAAAACTGTCCAGCCAACCATACAGCTGAATGGCAAGTCCTGCAAACATGTCCACACATACAGCCTTGTGTGCATGTAAGCTTGCACCAACTTGCATCCATAACCATGCACTATGTCAAGGGAAATAATACTTTCTAAAGGAGCTGTGTTTGCATGTGGACATATGAAAACCAGGAGACAGAACCAGCTGGAAGCCACAGGAAACAAGTAACCAGAGGTTTGATCCTACACTACATGTACAGTGTACGGCATCTACTATCCCACGCTTGCCTTTCTGGTGTTTTCCAGCGTTTCCAGTAGTAAATAGATCAAAGGATGCATCTTCAGCCTCCTTTTGCTGCATTTACCCTACTGTCCTATTTCACCATTCAAAGGAGCCTGCTGTGGACCATGGTAAGTATCACCCTTCCACCCCATTGCACTATTTTTCCCCATTATTTTCAATCATCTGAAAATGCTCCCACCTCTCCAGGAAGCACACCCTTGTTCTTCTCCTGCTCAAACAGGAGAGATGCATAGCCCATGTTGTCGCTGTTGACAAGATGGTTGGTGTTGTTCATGCTGACAGGATGCACAGCAAACCAGCTGAAGAGAAGACATACATAAGGAAATCCTTTATTTAAATGCATCTACCTAAATATGTGCAATTGACTTATGAGAATTTTCTACGGGGAAATAAAAAGCCAGACCACCAGTGCCCAGGGCTGGATTAACAAGGGCAGAGCTATTTACATCTTCTCCCATCATGAACAGGACTCACAAAGAGCCAGATCATGAGTGTGCAGATGGCAGAGTAATCACCAGGGCCACTGAGAGTTAATTGAACCCCAAATGAGCTCCAAGGTTCACCGCAGCTCGAAAGGACCCTCCCTCCATGGATAAAACTGCGTTTTCAGCAGATTGCTCAATTCTCACTGGGCAGAGGCTGTCAAACAGCACATGTTTAATGATTATGCATGACAGCCAGTGGGACAAGACCATATCATAAAACTGCTGAGGCTTGTTTTTTTCTCACCACACTGACTGTGACACGAGTATGGGGAAAATCACAGAGGAAAATGCTCCTAATGCAGTCAGACTCCGTTCTGGTTTCTGAGTGGAGAAATCACACCATTGGCTTCAGGACTGCCTTTGACTTCATTGGCCCAGCCTTGAGCTCTGAACTTCGAGCAGCCAAGGGCATGTGCTGATAGGATGGCTGTCATAAAAAGGGCACCAGGCACCCAGCACCAGGAACAGCATGCTTTGAGTGAAATATAGGGTGCTGAATGAGCCTCAAGGGCTGGCAGTGTGATCTTCATCCCCTGTTCTACACTGTTGAGATGGACGAGCCTTAAACATCCAACACCCAGCAGGTAGGAGGTTTTTGCACCCCTATCAGGGCAGGCCAACTCTGGTCATCTTTTCCAGGCTCCTCTGCAAGCCACAGTGTAGGAGCCATAACCAGAGAAGTGCCCATTGCAGTTCCAGAGCAGATGAGAGACACTGACCTGGTTTACACCCTCAAGGACTCTCACCATAACTTGTTCTTCCCTCAGAGACTCTCTACTGACCATCTGGGAAGAATGGTATATAGGAAAGACATGTAGATCTTCCTGAAAAGCAGGAAGGCTTGTGCAAGCAGAGAACTACAGAACTACCCCTGAACCACACTCCTGATATTCTCTGGTTTATGTGAATTTGGAGAGAAGAGTGTTTCTTCAGTAGCCAGTACCTGATGAGTCCTAGGTCATGTCCATTCTCATCTACCAGCTTCAGCATCACCATTTCTTTATCTGTGTTGGTTGAGTACCTGGGACAATGAAGTGGAGAAATCACATTAGCACCAGGGCCAAAGTCAGACTCCATGTTGTTAAATCTCCACTGGAATGTGCAAGAAAACAAAGAGGATATTACAGATATTACCAGGACATGGTGATACCTTACAGGACCATCCTAAAATAGCTGTGAATATAAAGCAAGAAGTATTGTCATTGCTGACCTCAGGCACTGCTTCCTTTAGTGATGGAGAGAGGAGCTCTCTTCAAATACAGCCTCATGCATTTTAATGCTGTCTGACATACAGTGTCTACTAAGGACATTCTTTTTCTGTTGTTTTTAATAATGCAGAAGGTCACATCTTTAGCCAATGCCTCACATGCTTGGAAGGAACCACAACTTCCAAGCCTGCATGTACAACTCCTTTTTGGGAATGCAGATGTCAGACAACCCAGGATGGTGACAGTGTCATTCTGCTGAGGACTTGCCTCCACTTTTGAACCATCCTATAAATGACCAGGAAAAGCTGGCTGTAAAGACAACTGGCTCCCAACACAGTGTCTCTCTCATTTTTGAGGTGAGTTTACCTGCTGCGTTCAGATGCTGGATTCTGGAGATACGAGTAAGGGCTGCGGTTGATTTGACTGTTTTCTACCATGCCTCTGTTTAAAAAAAGCCTTCCTCTCTTCATGTTCTGATGTGCTATATCAATGCTCTGAAAATCAGAAGGATATTAGACCACAAATGTGAAAAATATATGAGATTATTTGGAGAACTCCTCCCCTGCCTATTCTAACACTCTCTTGGGATTTTGGGGGCTTTGTTTGCTTTGCTTTTCTTAAATAGCTGAAAATCTTAGAAAATTAGAAGCTAATTATAAGCAACATTTCAAAATCAGCCATAACCACCTCTTTCTAAAAAAAGTCTTTTGTTTTCTGACCTGATCTCACTGGCAAGCAGAAAACCACTTCTGAGTGTATTTTAAGGCAGTGGTTGGAACTGGAGGTTTTTTAAGGCCCCCTCCACCCAAAACTGTTCTGTAATTTAGAGGTTCCTTTGATTTAGAGGTGCTGCATCCTCGGCATTCTTGTGAGGTGCTACCATGAACATCACAGCGAGTTGGTCACAAAAGCATCTCCCCCACCTTTTCCGTGTTCACGGACTTTTATGTCACCAGTTCCTGTGACCCCTACCTTTACAATGCCATTCACTATAGCATTGAGGTTTGGTTTGATCAACCCTCTGCTAGTGATCCAGAAGAGTGTGTACTGGAAGTAACCACCAGGCCCTGAGTGCGTGTGGGTGCCACTCAGGATGACGTTGTCCCTTCTGTACAGCTCGCCATACTTGATCTTCAGTTCCTTCAACACCTAAGGGAAAAGAAATGGTCCTAAAACCCTTTTTCATGTTCAAGGGCTGTGGGGATTTGTATCAAGCCCTGCAGTAAACCCAGCCTCTCTACCAGCTCCTCACTCCTCACTTTCCACCTGATACTCCTATACCAGTAGCCAAACAAGTAGGTTGTAGTTGTTGACTTGACAACTGCCTTAAAATAATAATATATTAAACAATAATATATCTAAAAGTGAAGACCTCTATGGCCAACTTGCAGCCCACACTAAGTCATTCATGGAGTCTCCATGTCTCAAGGATCTCCTTTCGTCCTCTGTGGTGCTAGAAACTCAGATTTACTCAGGCACCAAGTGTCACATATATTTTTTGATAATTTTTCTGCTGAGAAAAGCCTCAGGAATCAGCAGCTCTTCTTCAGAAGAGACAGGACATCTCTCAAGATCGTGCTGCACAGAGATTCCCAAGCAAACAGTCACGGTGCTTCTAGATTCATTATCATTTTGTAATGTCTGCAGCATTAACACTAACACCTGCCGCCACTCAGACCTTGCAGACTTCCAGCCACATACCTCCAGCCTCAGCCTCTGGGACATCATCCCTATGTCAGTGCTGACAAACACCACTCTCCTGGAGTCATTGGGCTCAGCGACGATGAAGGCTCGGCTGTAGAGGCGTGTGAGAAGTCCGCCACCCACCTGGTCTGGATTGGCATAGCCCATCTGGAAGGGAAGAGCTCCGCCAGACAAAATACGGGATGTGTCCATTTCCATATGTTTTTCTAAGCATATTTTCCAGAAGATCAGAGAAATCTTTTAACTCAGAGATGCAGCTATCTTGCCTTTTGATTACACAACAATTCACATAATGATTAATGAAGACAACTGTTTGCAAACACAGAGATTGTAAGGCAGAAGTTCTGGGGGAAAAAAAAAAAAAAAAAAAAAAGCCCAAACAAACAACAACAACAAAAAAGGCCACCGCAACACTGAGGGATGATGAAAAATCAGTATTTAACTGAACTTCTGAGCAATTCCCCATACATACCAGAGGAATTTCTGCTACGGGCCCTGTGCAGTCTGCCCGACCTACACCCAGTAAGTAGTTTCCAGAGCCATCAGTTGTTGGTGGTTTCTGGGTAGGCGATGGTTTATCATAATCTATAATAAGATAGATAGGGAATTTATTTTAATGAATGGGAGATAGTGGATTTCAACCATTCAGAAATCTACTGGGGAAATGGCACAGTAAGCTGCAAGAAATCCAGAGTCCCATGGGATCCATTGACAACAACTTCAGGTGTTGGACTAGAGGTGAAGCACTGCTGGACCTGGCACTCACCAATGCAGAGGAGATCATTAAAGAAATTAAGATGGGAGGCATCTTGGACTGCAGTGACCATGCCCTGGTCAAGTTCATGAACTTGAGGAATGTGGCCCTGGCAAAAGGTGGATTGAGGACCCAGAACTTTGGGAGAACAAACTTTAGTTTGTTTAAGGAATTGTTGGATGGGATCGCCCTTAAAGACAAAGGAGTGGTGCAAAACTGGCTCGTCTTCAAGGATGCATTTCTGAGACAAGCAAGAATTCCCCAGCCCTCAGAATAAGAAAGCAGCCAGAGGAGGCAGGAAACTGGCTTGGCTAGGCAAGGAGCTGCTGGTCAAACTGAGGGAAAAGAAGAGCAAGTACAGGCAGTGAGAGCAAGGATATGTCACCTGGGAAGAATATGGGGATGCTGTGCAGACACGCAGAGATGGGATCAGGAAAGCCAAGGCACAAATGGAACTGAACTTGGTGAGGGATGGTAAAAACAACAAGAAGGGATTCTATAGGTACAGAATTCAGAAGAGACAGGCCAAGGAGAGCGTAGCTCCTTTAGTAAATGAGAAAGGACAACTGGCTACAAAAGATATGGAGAAGGTTGAGGTACTCAATGAGTTCTCTGCCCCAGCCTTCACTGTCAGCCAGGCTTCTTTCTTGTGTCTCTCATATCCCACTGAGAGGGGTGCCTAGGGGAGCAAATAATAATAGGGACCCTATTTTGCTCCCCTAGGCGCCCCTCTCAGTGGGGCCTGAGGGAGCAAAATTCCCTCCACTGTTAGGGTAGAACAGACATGAGAAGGCCTCATGAGGCTGAACATTTACAGGGCTATGGGGCCGGATTACACGCATCCCAGAATACTGAAGGAACTGGCTAATGTAGCCGCCAAGCCACTATCCATCATATCTGAAAAGTTGTGCCTGTCAGGTGAAGTCCCTGGTGACTGGAAAAAAGGAAACATCACTCCCATTTTTAAGAAGGGGAGAAAGGAAGACCTGAGGAACTACAGCTGAGGAGTCTCACCTCTGCCTGGGAGGATCATGCAATGGATCCTCCTGGAAGCTATGCTTAAAGCACATGTGGGATGAGCAGCTGATCTGAGACAGCCAGCATGGCTTCACCAAGAGCAGATCCTGCCTGGTCAATCTGGTGGCCTTCTTCTTCCGGAGTGACAACATCGGTGGACAAAGGGAAGAGCAACTGATGTCATCTGCCTGGACTTCTGCAAGGCTTTTGGCATAGTCCCCTACCACATCCTCATCTCTAAGGTGGAGAGATTTGAAGGGTGGACAATTCAGTGGATAAAGAATTAGATGGAAGGTCACAACCAGAGGGTGGTGGTCAATGGCTCTATATCCAGGTTGAGACCAGTAATAAACGGTGTCCCCCTGGGGGCTGTCTTCAGACCAGTACTCTTTGACATCTTTATCAATTATGTAGATGATGGGATTGAGTGTTTCTTCAGCAAGTTTGTCAATGAAACCAAGCTGAATGGTGCAGTTATTACAGCAGAAGGAATGAATGCTATCAGAGGGACCTTAATAAATTCAAAGGTGGGCCCTTGAGAAACTCATGAGGTTCAACAAAGCGAAGTGCAACATTTTGCACTTGGTTTCAGGGGGAATCCCAGATATGTAGAGACTGGGAGAAGAACTCCTTAAGAGCAGCCTTGCGGAGAAGGACTTAGGGGTTCTGGTTGATGACAAATTGAGCATGAGCCAGCAGTGTGCTCCTGCAGCTCAGAAGGCCAATGGTACCCTGGGCTCCATCAGAAGAGGGGGGACCAGCAGGGACAGGGAGGTGATTCTCTTTCTACCCTGCTCTCATGAGGCTTCATCTGGAGTATTTTGTCCAGGCCTTGGGCCCCCAACATAGAAAAAACGTGGAGCTGTTGGAGAGGGTCAAGAGGAAGGCTATGAAGATGCTCAGAAGGCTAGTGTTCCTCTTATATGAAGACAGGATGAAGGAGCTGGGATTGTTCAGCCTGAAAAAGAGAAGGCTGCAGGAAGACCTCATTATGGCCTTCCAATATTTAAAGAGAGATTACAGACAAGAGGGAAATCAACTTTTTCCACAGGTAGATAGTGATGGGGCAGGGGGGAATGGTTTTAAACTAAAGAAGGGAATATTTAGATTAGATGTCAGGCAGAAGTTTTTTTACTGAGTGGTGAGGTGCTGGAACAGCTGCCCAGAGAGGTTGTGGATGCCCCGTCACCAGAGGTGTTTTAGGCCAGGTTGGATGGGGCCCTGGGCAGCCTGATCCAGTACTTGATCTGGTGGCTGGAACCCTGTCTATGTCAGTGAGGTTGGAAGAGACCTCAGGGATCACCAAGTTCCAACACCACTGACAAGCCATTCTGTGAATCTGTGAGATAAGTGGCCACAAGAACAAGCAGAATTAAGATCATAAGAGTTAATGTAGCCTTTGTAAAGTGTGTCTGAAACCTGCTAAACATTCCTGGGAGCTTAGGAAGCCTATGGACCAGGGATCTGCCTGATGCTCAAAGTGTCTGGACAGCGTCACAGGAGAAAAAACAGTGAGAGTTAATAAGTAAGTAAGTAAATTCTCTGTGCTTCAGGAAATCCCACAGCCACAAATCACTGGAGGCTGAGATAACACCATGGGAAAATATTTGTGTGTGCTTAATCTGCTCTTCCTGGCCTGCTGGAGTTGGTCTTCCCACCATGCCCTTTCCTTGGCTGTCATGTAAAACAGAGGAAAAAAGATATGCTCTTATTGGCCACAGACTGCCCACAGGAGCAGCAGACAGCTATTGCTTGTGCTTGAAGCAGCATATAGGAAGAAGATTCCCATTAAACCATTTAAACCTCCCCTACCAATATTTTATCTCTTCAGAGGGTAAGAATGGGGCATATGAGAAGTGATCTAAGGGTTCCTTTGAGTAGGTCCTGCCACCCAATGCCCCATGTCTGGTGGTGGGCTTGGAGGCATAAAATGGTTGATAATGGTATTGCAAACACTGTGGTTATCCCATCAATTTAAATTGCAGGTCCAGGCACACAGCTCACAGACAACATGCTCTGTGCAACTGGAAATGGCCCAGGAGTGCAGACTTGCTCCTTAGATTTCTCCTTCTCTGGGTTTCAGTAAAGTGCTTCATCACTTGACTAATTTTTTTTAGTGCTGTTTTAGGCTTTCCAAAAAAACAAACTGCTTCATGGAGGAATGGACTGATGGGATCTGAACGCATGGCCACAGGACGTGTCATGCACATGAAATGACACACCACTGCAGAACTGGGGAGAACTGGGGCTGGTATTCAGATTCAAGCAAAAATCATTGACCAGTGCAAATAAGGGGCGCGCTTGTAAAGGCTCGAGGCTGCGAATGATTTGGAAATGAGACACCACCATGTTACTGTTTCATTGTGGTGTGGATATCACTGTTTCTGCTTTAAAAAGAAATCTGACAACTGTGCATCTCCACTTCCTCCTGCATCCTCCCTCCTTCCCAGCAAACCCTCTTGAGCTGTACCAAAAGAGCTCGACTTGCCATTGCTGCTCTCCCCAGTGACAAAGTGAAGGACGAGGAGTGCCACGGTCACCGCTGTCATCAACACCAGGAGAGTGATGAGGACAATCTCCAGGCTGGAGTAGGGGTGTCTATTCCTCTGTCTGCACATGGCCCTGTGTGAGCAGAGAGGAGCTGGTGGGATGGCAGACAGGACACTGCAGTGAGCCACTGATGTGCGCTGCACATCCCCTCGCTGAACAGGGATGCTTGGCATGCTCTCTTGAACAAGTCTTTCAAATAAACCCCAGATATTTTGCCAGGCTGTATACTCGCCAAGCAGCCGAAGGAAATGCCTGAAGCCTCACTGCATTTTTGCAGCTTGTGCTCAGAGCGCACAATATTTTCATCACAACAATGTTTAATTTAGGAAACTTGAGGCAAGACAAACATCTCCATTGCATGTGCAAATGCATTTCTCTCCAGGATAGGAAAAGTAGTACTTGTGACAGTGCTCCTAGATAGGACCCTACTGTAGAGATGCCAGCCTTTCTCCTGCTATGCAGAGCTCCTTGCTTCTCCCATTTTGAGCATTGTTCCTCCATCTCATTTTAAAGACTAACAAGAAAAAATGTTGAAAATAAGGCAATGAGAAAATGCTGCATTTCCTCCTACGTTAAAAATCTTCTATTTGTCCTGCCCTGACATCTGAATTTTCATCAAGATCTTCAGACTTGCTGGGTGGGAGGTCGCACTTGGATCTAGGATGTGTCTTTTGCCCTTCTTGGAAGCATCTGTGCAAGGCAGAAATAAGCCTTTAAGACAACTCTGGGCATTTTCAAACATACTTAGGTGCACAAAATGGCCACAAATCCTGTTCCTTTATATGCTTCTGCCCTTGTCTGATGCACATACCTGCCCAAAGGGGCAGATTTCTGAGGGTCTTTGGGAATCTCCATTCTTGGTGGTGGTCCCAAATTTCCTGGAGATGGCCCCATGCAATGTGGGAACCGCCAGCCTGAGTGACAATGTTTTGCCCCTACGGCTGTGTCTCAGCATGGAGGATGGACCCACAATTGGAGAGGAAATTTATGGTCTCGGAAGCATGGCAATGAGCCAGTCACCCAAATCTGCTATAGATGACCTCTCTATAAGTTTCTTTTGCCACAGAGAGATAAAGCAGCTGTGATCATTGCTGAATTTCACCTAACAAACCTTTTAGTGGTAAGAAACATAGTATTATGTGTTCCCTTCCTTCCCCTTTCTTGGCTTTGCATTTTAGTACAGAAACTAGGAGCTCACATATCACAACCTATCTGGGTAATAGTTATCGCCGTGCCATCCCAAAACACATCCACACAATAGGATTACATTCATTTCTCCAAGTGATTAAATAGCTGGAGTAATAGTAAAAAGTGAAAAATAGCACCACAGAATCTCAACAACACCTCATACAAACTCACCTTGCAGCACAGCCTCCAAGGGTTTTGGTGTTCTGGGTGCTGTGAGGCTTTGGTACGCTCAATTCTGTCTCTGTACCTGTGGTCTCTCACGTGTCCCAGGGGTTGGAGAAACATCTTCCTGCTTGAAACCTGCTGAAAAGTCCAACTTGAAAATTATTGCTGTTATAGCCCTGTGAGTCAGGCTCCACGCAAGATAAGGGGAAACAGATCAATAACTTTTACTGCAAAAGCAGGCAGAGTTTTTCCATTCATTTAAGTTATGAACAGTGTCTGTCTCTTCAACACAACCTTTTTAGGATTGCATAGATCGCCTCTGGTGCACCAGGAACTTAGCAGCAGGCCTGTTCCCTCCTCTTTGCCTCATCACTGCCTGAGCTGCCTGCAGGATCCTGCTGTGATCCCTAGTCCCTGTGGAAGATTGCTCCCAATGTTTGACAGATTTCACTGGATGAGCTCAAATACAGGGATATACTCTTCTAAGGCCTTCTAGGGTCCTACAACTAACTGGGGAATTTAAGGATGGAACCACATACCTTTTCCATCCCACTCAGCTTCCAAACATCAAAGCAGATGCTGTTTTCCACTTTTATCCCTGTTTCTATCATACTCCTAATCCAAAGGGTTAATATCCCCGTCAGCAACCTGAGTCATGGATTTCAAGGTTCCCTCCAGTATTTTGCTAAGTCTCAGCAGATTTCAGGCTGGCTGGTGGGGAGAAGTAAGATTTCTTGATACGTTATCTCCTTGCTGTGATACCAATGGAACGTGCTGGCCCTGCTGTTGGTGGCAAACAGCCTGCGAGGCAGGATGCCATGGGAATAGGCGGGGCATTGGCAGAACATGAACTCTTTCCAAAGGTGATGTATTGGCTCTTCACTGTGAGACTGACTTTTCAAGAGCTGGTGTAGTGATGGTGTGCTTGTCTTATAGAACCATAGAATTGCTTGGGTTGCAAGGGACCTTAAAGCCCACCCAGTGACAATCCCCTGTGGTGGGCATCCTCACTGCATGAGGATGGGCCTTAAGCTCATTCAGGGATGGGGAAACCACAGCTTTTTTAGGCAGCCTGTGACAGAGACTTCCAGCTCTTCTCTTACAAATCCACAGGAGCCACAATAGTCTTCATGAACCGCCTGAACCTGAATCCTTCCATTCTTATCTTCCAGTGTCGGTGCTCAGGAAAGTTGATGGAGGAGACACAAGCAAAGGTACCGGTGGGACACCGAGGACTTCCATCTGTCCTTGCTTTCTAGATGCTCCTCCAATGCAAATACAAATTTGAGCAGACCACAAAAGAGAGAGACTAACTAAATAGAGTGCTTATTTTTCTGTTCTTCCCCTTTGTTTTCCTTCTCTCAATTCTCATTCTGACTCATCTCATTGGCATGTGGTAGACATTCATCCAAACCCCTCCTTGCAACAACTCATTTTGGTAACCCATAGGTGCGCAGTGTCTGAGGCCAGCCGGGAAGCCGTTTATCCCCACTAAGAATTTACCACAACATTCCCAAGCCTAACGGACAGAAAATGCTCCATCTGTTAAAAATTCCAATTAAAAATCTCTCTTTGAGGTAATGTTGCAAGTGCTGGGCAAAGTAAAGAAACCCCTAAAGGGTATCTGCTTTTCTGTCCAACATCATCATCAGGACAGCAACCTTGCCGCCTTGTTTTTGCACAGCCAGCTGAGTTTCGGCCAAGAGACTCAGCATGAGAGCCAAAAGGCAACTCATTTGCATTGCAATTAAAACCTCAATTTGTATGGAAAGCGGCCTCACATTTGGGATGAAAGCCCACTGATTTGTTCTTGCAAAATACTGCTGGCTGGTGTCTCTGTCTGCTGGATGAGGCTTGGGCTTTCACTATCCTCAAAAGACTGTCTCAGAACTTGCCCTAATTTTGATGAATTTAAACAACAGCAAGATGAGCCGAGAAGATAACGACTGACTGGAGCTGCATGCACATAGCAGGGGACAGGTCAGACCTGCTGCACAATTCTGTGAGTTTCTGCTTGCCTCCGCAGGGCGCTGTCAGAAGGATGGACAGGGAATGAATAGAGTGACATTTCCTTTCCCCCAAAAAATGCACGGCGTTGCCCAGGCTTCTCTTCCTTAGGCTGGAATGTGTTGTGCCACTCTGAAACCTGGCTGGATTTCTGCAGACACTGAAAGAACCAGCATAAACACCGCATTATTTGGGGGCCGGGGAAGCCACAGCAGGTACCCCGAAGCAGTGACACACCACAGACTTTGGCATTCAGAGAATGGAAACTTCCTTTCAAACCTGTTCGTGCTGTGTTTTGCACAGCTGGTGTTTATAGCAGGGGCCTGGAACAAGGATCAGCTCTCAGTGAGAGTTTGCTGTTTGTCCAGACTCAAGATGTTCACCAAAGCTTGGGATCCCAACTGTGAGAAGGGAACGCAGGTCTGAAGCCTTTAGCATAATGCTGCTTATTTAATACAGAATGTCCAAAGTCCCTTTTATATGGATCCTGATGACAGCAGATAAGGTTTCCGAGCAAAGCCATCAGCAAAATCCTTCAGGGTTCTGGCAGAGACAGGCAGGGTGAATCAGGCAGCACCAGGCAGATCTCCCCTCCTGATTTCCCAGCCAAAGCACCCCGACAGCAGCAGGTAACTCCATCAGGTGAAGGGCTGGGCTGTGGGAGAAACCGTGGAAATGGTGATATGTAGAATCAGATGCCACCTCAGTGACTGCCTCTGAGCTTCTTCTCGTTCTGTTTTCCTTGAAGCCTATAAGACTAGTTGGAAATGAAAAAATAAGTGATAGCAGAGGCTCAACCACCTCAACTACATGGGCAGGCAAAAAGATCTGTCCATGCCAATTTACAGCCCTGGCTGCTGGACCCACATGCAAGAAGCTGAGATAAGCCAAAATTAACTTAAACCAACTGCTGCTCATTGCCCATTTCTGTGTACACAAAGATTTGAAACAGCACCTCAAAGGTCCAGAGAAGTAACCCAAAGCATCACAAAGAGCTGCAAGGGAGAGACCCTTGGGCTCCAGAATTGTGTCGCAATGTTCGAGGATGGAGATGCACCCTTGCAGCTGCAGGACTGGTGGAGGTTGGGACCCTCAGGCCAGCCAGCAGTGCTTTCTGTGCTTAGGAGACATCAGAAGAAACCATGCAGCAAATTTAGGCTTCAGCCCACGCTGCCCCAGGCTGACCCCCTCCCCCTGGAGGCCTTCAACAACTTGGTGTCTGGTCACGTTTGGATACCAAAGAGCTCCAGTACAAGACCAGGAAACTCTTCTTGGGAATCTCTTCCTGCTCACTGGGCCCAGAGCTGGGAAAATGACAAAACAGAACTGGGGAGGACCTTCCCAAGCTAACACCAGCTGACATTTTATGGACAATAATTGAGTAGAAAGTGACTAAGATGGGCTGCTCTACATGCATCCATACCTACACTTGCCAATGATGGCAACCAGCAGGGCTGGGGATGCTGCTGGAAACCCTCTGCAAGCAAACTTCACAAAGTGGCAGCAAAAAGCACCTCCTGCTGCAGAACATCATGATTTCAGCCCTGTGCTCACCAGCAGACACTCAGAGCACAGATGAGCTCAGGTTTGGAGAAAAACAAAGGTGCAGCCAAAACACTGGGCTGGTGCAAGAGTCCATTTTCTGCAGTGTGTGTTCCTGCTGGGTTACACAGGCAACACCAGGAGGCACCATGCAAATGCTTCACCACCTCTGTGCTCTTTGCAGAGAGTACCAAAAAGCAAAGCTTTCGTTGCCTTTGCTTGGCTTGTGCTCAAGAACCTTCCCTCCTTGTACTTTAAGAATCCTGAAATCTTCCCTGCCTGAAAGAGCCAAAAACAAAGCCACAGCGGTGTGCAGCAATGTGGGGACTCACCCAGGTCCACTCCCAGAGAAAGACCTCAGCTACTTCTCCCAGACACCAACAACTGCAGGGTCCTTCTCAGTTCTGAGCCCTTTTTTCTTTTTTTTCCAACTTGTATGTCTGGAGATGTCTCCTTCAAATTCCGGTCTGCCCTGGACATGCTATGTCCCAGAAAAACAGCTGTGCCTCAAAACCTTACTTCTCATTATTTTTAAGTGCCCTTACAGATGCCCATCACAGGAAGCAAATGCAGAAGAAGTGGGTACACATATCATACCTGAGCATCCTGGGGGAAATGCAGAACTCAGTGTGGCACTGCTGGGCTCGGCATCCCTGCCTGCCCCATTATTTCTCCTGACAGCACAGCACGCTTTACCAAAGCACAGTTTGTTCTGCCGTGAACAAACAAAACGAGGCCATGTTCAGCAAGACCCATGCAGTAAGTCAGACACTACAATGCAGAATTCAGCAGATTCCATTTAATGTCATGTGCATATATCCATACATTACTTATGTCAATGGTTTTGATGTGCGTGATGCCAGGTCTTGAAAAATCTACTTATTCTTTTACATCTGGGAGCGTGAATTCTCTCAAGCAATCGCCTTGGGATGGATTTGCTGTTTTAAAATCAGCTTTCAACCGCACACTTGCAAAGGCAATTACTGTGAACTGAAGGCAAAGCATGCAGAGCTAATCCCTAAAACTTGCAGATGGCTCTGCAAATACTGCTGCAAAGGGCTTTTGCCAAGAAATGTGGAATAGGAAGAAATCATCTCCCTTCCAGGGAGAGCTTCTAAGGAACGGGCTCATCTTGCTCAGCATCCCAGGCAACGGCGAGGCAAAGCACCAGAAGTAACACAGGAATGATTCCTCAAGGAGGTTGAAAAGAGGGCGGAAAAGTAAAGATAAAACGCTACCATCACCACCACCAACAACAACCCTAACCTAAACCAGAAGAAGCAAAAAGTGATACTGTCACCATCAAGAACTCACAACAGCGGGACATTTTGGGCAGCTCCTGGGCTGCCGGCTGCCTGCCCTGCCACGCGCTCCGCCACTGCACTTTTGGGGTAGATTTTTCAAGCCCTGGGGATGGTTCCAAGGAGGGCTTCTCAGATCCGCTCCCAGCTCCCACATGGTCAGAATGTATTGCATAGTATTTATTTCAGATAAGGCACTGGTTTGCCAAAGGTGAACAGCAATTCAACAGCAATGCAGTTTCCATACAATTTGATGACCTACAGTGCAATTACAATCAAAGGCAAGGTCGGGAAGATTAAACCTAGCTTAAAATTTAAGATTAATACTAGAAACATAAAGGAAACTACATTTTTCAAAAGCCTTTTTATTTTCCTTCACCATTGTTGTTTTACAATACAAATATCACCTTGTGAATACACAAAAACCCTACAGAAGATAACTCTGCTTCACGTAAAATACAGAATGTATATATATATATATATTCATATATTTTTTTTCTCTTCTTCATTCTTTAAAAAAAACTATTTTGTTCTGCACATTGGCAAGTTTAGGATAGAATACTTCCCCAGACATACAGTATGTATGGTAGGAGTGAAACTTATAGTTACATGCAGTTTCTGCACAAATATTTTAAAGAAATAGATTATCTTTGTTGTTTTTCCAACAACAGCTCAATATGGGATGGAGAAACCATTTGTAGTTCACTCAGTGATCATTTGTAAAATTCTTAAAAAACAGGAATTCATGGCTGTTTTCATATTAAAACACAGCTACCAAGTAGACAATAAAGTGATTTCTTTTAGTACGATCTGCTCACAATGTGTGAACAAGATCTGACCCTTCTTTTTTGGTTTATCCCTACCCATGGCAATTTCAACATTATAAGCAAATTTCCAGTTTAATTTAGCTATAAATGCAAAAATTAGTAATTATACAGTATATATATTTCTGCTTTCATGGAATACTTTATTTTAAATAAAGACATTTAAGACTGCCTACTGACCATACAATCAAGACAGGAAAGGCACTAGATACATAGACAAATCTCTCTCTCCCAAGAAGCATTTTCTTTAAATTTTAACTCTCTATTCTTCGACATGTAAAAATCTTTTCAAATTTAATTTTCATACACATTTTGAAAAATAAAGTTAGGAAATACTTATAAAATCACTTTACAACTTTTTTTTTTTTTTTTTTTTTTTTTTTTTTTTTTTTTGCACTTTTTGACACAGTCACTGCAGATTCTACAAAACCAAGATTAGCAAACCTTCCTGTGTCTATCATCTCGCTTGTATCGCGGTGCAACAGGTAGAAAGATTTCTCGATTTACCCGAGGCAGGTATCAGAAACCTTCATAGAGTCATTAGCTAGAAAATGGCTTACAGCCCAATCTTTGGGGCAAGAGATATGAAAAGTATGTTTTCCCAAGAAAATAATACGCATTATTCCCAGACGTGACTGGAAAGACCAGAACTTATGGTATAAAAGCTTTCATTTATGCTGTCGCATCATATACAAAGGAACACGGTGATGGGTAATGGAAATCCCAAATCTATTAACAAGAAATGTATAACAGTGCATGATAAGTTAAATTCTCTTTATTGTTGTCCAACGCAGATCCTTTGGAGAGAAAAAAAAGATCACAGTGCTTACCAGGTAACTGAATAGGTTAAGTCAAGGGAGCTGTTAAAAGAAAGGGTTAGGGAGGGGTTGGGGTTGCTTTGTTGTTTTTTTATGGCATCTTCTTGCATGGAGTTCTTAGCACTTGGGACGGGCCCTTTCCCCCTCTGTCCACCAACACGCTGCTATGTGTCATTCACCAGCCGGCTGTATTTCACCTGCCTGCCCCGGTGCAGCACTGGCCAGGGGAAGGGCCAGTGGTAGGAGCGAGGTACAATTCCTTGGACATTCTTTTCAAAGTACTGGAAAGGCTTGTACCACCAGACTCTTGCAAGGAGGTTGGTTTGGGAAGCTTCTTTTAGCACCTGCAGACGGACAGTCAGAAAACAGAATTATAAGAGAGCGCACCTCCTGCATGACTTCACTGTTTGACAATCACTCCCATGTATCAGCGCTAGCCTTTGCTTACAGCTGTTTCCAAAAACCTCTTGGCATCTTGAGGTATCTGCTGAACAAATCTGTACAAAGATCTGCCAAACAGCCAAGCTGCTTTTCCACAGCCTCCCTGCACACAGAACTTGCTGCACCTCAGTGACACTTGCCACCATTTCCAAGCCCTCAGCTGCTCAACAACAGCTCCAAGCAGAAAAACTGCATGTCAAAAAAGGTCAATCTCACCTTTCTACCAGGAGCCCAGCTGTGTGCATGCCTTGGCCCATCTGGAAGAGGCAAAAAACCTGCCCTGGCCTTGGTGTGCACTCACACCACAGCCACCACCCTTTTTACTGCTCTTGGCTATGAGCAAGCCACAGCTGAAATAAAAGGAGTGGGCAGGTGCTGAGGGAGTCAAGCGAGCACCTTGCTGCACATTCACTGTGCCACAGCAGGGAAGCCAGGCATCAGCCCACTGGGAAGTGCAAGCACAGGGCCTGCACATCAAGCTTTCTTTCTATCCCATAAACTCACATGTAAAAAAATCCACTTTCTGAAAGGAGCTTTTTAAGGTCACAAACAAGCCACGGCACAGGGAGCAGCACCAGGGACAGACAATAGGACACAAACACATGCTCAGGAAAGGATCCAGCAATCAATATTCCCCAGCATCTTAGCAGATGAGGGTAACAGTGCTGAGCCATCTCCTCTGAGCCTCAGCACGCCGCAAAAGAGATACATGTCCATACAGTAAGGCAAAGAGCTCTTCTGAAGCATGTTCTCATCAGAACTCAAAGCTTCAGTAGCTTCCCAGCTGGAAACATGACCACTCAGCGCTGCATTTTGATAGACTTTGGGAAATCTGAGGCATGGAAGCCAACCGAGTGCTGTGTGACAACAGGAAGTTCAGGCACAGACTTTAATGAACACAGTAGCTTCCGAAGTGAATGAACATGAAACTGCATGATCTGCATCAGGCATTTGGAAGCAGAAATATGCAACAAGGTTGGGGGTGCTGCTGCAAGTAGCACAAAAAAGGAGGAATAGCATACGACACAGCAGCTATATAGACCTTGGTATGAACTGAAAATCAGCACCACAGTATTAACTCATTTCCTACTATCATACTGGGTCTTTGTCAAACATAATTAACTGCTACTGAATGCAACAGTTATGTAAAATGCCTTCTCCATGTTGCACAGAAAATATCTGGACACTGATTAGTTGTTACAGGCCTAAAAGAAGTCTAGGATAACTTCTCTTAATTCACTGTGTGCAAAAAAGCGTTACCTCTATAAGCTATGTTAGAACACAACAAAAACTGCCCAAATTCAGAGGGATTTCAAAACCTCAGGTTACACAGCCTACGGAAAGCCTTCAAATATTTTCTGCAGTCGAGACACAAGATGAAACCAAACAACAGTGCCTCTTCTCCTGTAAGCCCATCATGAAAAGGAAGATCAAGATGCTCCAGAGGGACAGACGCCTGCAGAAAGGCTCAGGACAATGTGTGGATATTCACCCCCACCACAATATAGCAAACAGAGTTATAAGGATCCAAAGACTGGGAGAAACTTACTTGCTGGTTGGCCATTGTGTGATACCACCAGAAAAGTCTTGTAGTGATGTAGTAAGCCACCACCACGTCCACAGTGTAGTGGTCATGAGCAAGGAGGATGCAGAACATCCCAGCCATGCTGAGCATCCAGCAAAGCCAGTGATACCACCAGAGTCGCCGTGGGGAATCTGCAAAGAAGCATAAGCAGGCTGTTAGGAAGCATGCAGAGGAGGGCCATCAAAATGACCCAAGGGATGGAACACCTCTCCTATCAGGACAAGCTGACAGAGCTGGGGCTGTTCAGTCTGGATGAGAGAAGACTCCGGGGGGACCTGAGAGCAGCCTGTCAGTGTCTAAAGGGGAGGTGTAAGAAAGAAGGGGACAGACTCTTTAGCAGGATCTGTGCAATAGGACAAGGAGAAAGGGTTTCAAACTAACAGGGGGAAGATTTAGATTGGATACATGGAAGAAGTTTTTTACAATAAGGGTGATGAGGCACTGGCACAGGTTGCCTGGAGAGGCAGTGGCCGCCCCGTCCCTGGGGACAAGAAGGGTCAGGCTGGATGGGATTTGAGCTGTACGCATCTCTGTTCACTGCAGAGAGACTGAACTAAATGACTTTAAGGGTTTTTTCCAACTGGGATGATTCCATGATTTCAAAACATTATCAGCACTCAGGACCATTGCTGTAATTATAAGAGGATGCACACTGCAATCCTGGGTGGGTAGAAGAGTTGAGATTAAGAGCAGGAATGCTGAGATGACAAAAGCACCACCATTCTGTCAGAGTGCAGCTTTCTAGTGTACTTAGAAGTGATTAAACACTTTATAGAAAGGTTATGAAACCTTAGAGAAACAAGCCAGATACATAAAAATCTGATATATCCTGGTCTGTAAAATTAACTGCTGTATACCTCAACATTAATTCTACATAGCTGACAATCCATTCCTCTTGCTTTTCATAAAAGGCAAAATGAGTGACCCTGGCATCCATCTCTCTAGACAAGGGGATGCAGTTCAAATACCATCCACGGGGCACGGTTCAATGAAGGTATAAACTATATTCTAGTCAAAACACTGGAATTCAGATATATACTTCAGACATGCACATGGGAAGGTGTTGTATTTTGTCTCCAAAGTTTTCTCTTTCAGTAAAATCTATGTCCTCGAAGTTGTATTTCTTTTACTTCACGGGAACAGGTGCACTTCCACTGAAGCGGTATTTACCAATCCGCACAGCAGCCATTCTTTGATGAGCTGGGAATGTACACAACAGGAGATTGCTGATGAACATACTTACACTCTTTGATAAATAAGTATGTGAGAGTTAATATGACGGTGTGCCCGCTGTACAGATAGTCGCCGCACATGTTGTGGGATCCTGTGATGGACAATCCTCCGCCAGCTATCAGCTTCATTATCCTTCGCAGGTGAGATTCCCAGTCTCCAAAAAGCTGGTGGAAGAGCAAACCGCAAATGAACGATGTTATATCACTGCTAACCTTTCCAAATTTAAAGCACACCATCAGTCAGCTGTTTGTCTTTCACTTGTTCTCTCTTTTTGCCTTGATATGAAAGAATTTATTCAGTAATGTGTGCATTAGGGAAGTCTGCATATGAGCACAGGCTGCACACGCCTGCATTCGTTTGTTATCTGAAGTATTCTCAAGAGAGAGAACCAAGAAAATTATTGCAACTTTCCTACAAATACAATATCCCAAAGGATTACGTTTTTTCTCCTGCACCCACAAGACAGACAGAAGAGGCAGTATTATTTATCCGTACAGATATTCGTGAATGTATGTATATGTGCAAAAAAGCCCTATACCATGTCACATCTGGTTGCAATGAGAAACATGGCACCTTTCAGTCTGACACCATATCAAAGAAAGGTCCAAGAAGTGTCAACTTCCTGTCAGTGGCCACACTGAGTAAGGAACTAAGGGTAAAACAGGTAAGTAAGCAGAAACTGCTGCTATTTATAAGTACTTATTGCTGCTACCATGAAAAGGCATTATCTTTCTCCAAGGCCTTGCTGGCGTTGTTGTCAATGTTTGAGGCTGTGTGGGAAACTACTGTAATGTGAATCTTCAAGACCACGTAAGGGGTTCAGATTTTTCATTCATTATGTCCTTTTATAAGCCCCACAGGTACAGTGAGGAGCAGAATAAGGACTACTGCAAAACATGTGAATTCTGTAATAGTCTCAAAAAATCCAGCTTCGCAAAAAGAAAAGGAGATAAAAATATTTCCAGTTATAGTTAGAAATTTCTCATGATTGCTAAACATCTGTTTCCCCTTCTGTTCAAGAGGCAACACAATTTAAATAAATCAAGCTTAATTTAATTCATCTTGTTCGTAACAGTGCAAGCCCTGCAGATGATAATCCAACTGAAAATGAGACCAACTGCCCAAGTTGGACATCCAAGCTGCCTAAAGCCAGATTTAACACACATTTTGAGTTTCTCACTACAAACACTAAAGGATCCCCCTGCCCTGCCTTGGGAAGTTTTAAAACTATTTCTTCCCACTTCACACCAGAAAAGAAATATAAATGGGATTTGTCATAGCACAAACCATAGCACAAGCTAAACCTCCGCAGGGGCTCCAGTTCACAACACCCACACTACCAATAGGGATGGTCCTCCACACCTGAATGATCTGCTCTGCATGACCTGCAACTCATACTGTTGGCTCAGAAGGCATTCCTGAAAATCTTCCATTTGCCTTTGAAAAGCCAAAGTGAATCAAGTCCTTCTCTTGGATTTGTTGCCCAACAGGTTGCTGGCCCTGTCCCTAGACCTTGCATTTGCTGCTCACAGCCCTAACATCAATCCAGCCACTAAAGAAATTCTCAAAGATAATGTGGGGAAAGCACAACTTGGAGGTACTGAGCACCACCAGGACCCAACGGACACAGGAACCAACTGAGTTTGGAGGAAGCCAAATGGGTCAGCACACTCAACTGCACATCTGCTGGATCCTTACCTCATTTCACTAAGTTTTACAATCCATTTAATGGTCAGAAGGAACACAGAATGCCCTGGTTAGCCATCACAGACAACTTGTTCATTTGCTTTAAACTTCCTTCTTGTTTTAACAAGTGGAAACTGTACTTTCTGGACAGATCTATGCAGAGTCTTTGTAGCAATCAAATATTTCCTACTAGCAATTCCTTATGAAGCATTAAGATGTTCCCAAAGCCCACCCCGTGATTGTTAAAAGTAAGGTAATGAGATGTTATTTTTTCCCACCAGGGTATCTAAAGCTTTCAAGAAAGCTCAGCTAAGCTTTTAAGCAGAGCAATGAAAGAACGCAACATAGGCTTGTCTTTACTTGAGCAACGAGCCCTACTTGCTGTAAATTTCTGAAGATGACAGATGTACTCAGGTTAGCCCACAAATATCTGTGTGGGTTTTTTTTTTATTTCATAATGGCTGACTGATCAAATACATTGTTGACTCTATAGCCTCTACTTCTCTTTATAAAAGACTGACGTCCCTCAAGAAGCCACACGTGGCTTGGCAAAGCTCTGCGCTGCCAAACAAACAATAAAGCACGTTTGTTAGCTTTACCTCCCCAAGGAACTCAAGTGTTTTGGCCCTGTTTGCACCACAGGTTTGTATGTTTCAGCAAACCTCATAAAAACAGTGACAGCACGTGCCTCGAGTTGAATCACAGGTTTGATTTATGGCTTTACTGCCTGTCATCTGCCTCGTGGCTGTGCACACAACCCTGAACCCTGCACGCCACAGAATTTCTGTTTCACAGAAATTACATTTCTGCCTTTTCTCTTACAGTAGAGGCAAGGAGAGGCAAGGAGATGAACGCTATGAAGAAAAATCTTGTGTATGAAGCTTATGAAGACATGAAGCTTATGTGACAGAGGTGGACTGAACACCAACACCTCAGTAACTCGGCTTCACCACAGCTTTTGTAAGCCCATGTGGCACAATAAACAGTCAGGGATAGCTCAGGGAGGGTCAAGCCCTTGCACTAACACAACTGCAATATATCCAGGAACTAATAGCAGCAAAGACTTTCATGTGAAACTGACTTTTAAAAGTCTCCTTGGATCGTTTTCAACCAGAAATCATGAATGGGTTTAACAACAGGTTGCAACCCTGAACTGCTTTAGCAAAGAGGAAAAATGCTGAACGTTACGAATCAGTTACAACTGCTACAGAAACTATGTAGATGTGCAGAAGGAAGCTGCCGTCCCACTCCCACCTTCCCAGCACCCCCTCGTGTCAAATTGTTTTCAAATTAGTAACGATCACTGCGAAACCACTGTCCACAGTTCTGTCAACGGTGGGACAAGGGAATCATTAAAATACAGAAAGTTAGTGAAAAGTTTACCTTTGGAGAACACTTGAAATGCATTCCAGGTACTGGGAGTGTAGTTACATACATTGTAATACACCGATACAGATATAGTGTGCCAACTATACAAAAAAACCTTCTGCCAATTATAGACCTAGAAGAAGAAAAAAAAGAAGAAAATACAATAAGGAAAGGTAAACAAAACACACAAGCTAGTAACTTTGGTCTTCTTGACGCTTTTGAAACTTGGAACTTTGTTCATCTATGTCAGCTTTCACCTAGGAATACTGACTTCCTTTACAAATATTCCCACGCTTTGCAGGTCAGAAATACACAAATGGCTCAACTAACTCGGTTAGTTAACTAACTAACGTTACCCAGGAAGTTGGCTATAGGAAATTTAAGGATTAAAATACAAATGCCTAAGCAGATTTAGTGCTGAAAACATTCCAAGGGATTTCATGCCCACACCCTTCCATTAGCTTAGAATGTCACTAATTTTCTATTCAAGGAGGGGGATAAACTTGCAATATTTTCATTAAAAGATGAAAAGGACTAAGTTAATTTCTGCTGACACACACCTCTTAGTAATTAGAAAGGAATGCTGTAGAAGGAATAGCTTGTATGAACCAAATGAATGAGAACATTTATTTCTCGAGCAGCATTAAGGGAGAAAGCAGCTCACATCAGCAATAGAATGTCCAAAATACCGACTGAGAGCTGCAGCAGCTGCAGAATGGGGTGTTTTCGTAGGAGGGCACTCTCCAGGCAAGCAGTCACAGTTGCAAATGAGATTCATTCATTGAGGCCTGCCAATAAATTGCTCAATTTTGGGGTAACATAGGGAAGTTTTGTAAACACAATGAGAGCAGAGTTTTAAGTCTGACTCAAAAGCAACAGCCAGCTCCAAACCAGGCCTACTGAGTTTAACTGCTACATACCAGGCAACACCACAAGAAAAAAGCTTCCAGCACATCCATCAGCTTGCACAGCTTTTCATGAAAAAAAATCACCAATATCTTTATATAACAGAGGCCAGACCCAGCTACAACAGCTCAAGACTTTAACCACTGCTGTATCCTGCTGGCTACAGACCCTTTGGTTTTGGTTGATTCTACACCACTGCTATCTAGAGTTAAGGTTATTTGGGGAATACAAAGGTTACAATACAAGGTGCGAGTCCTCACATTCATTCCTACTCTGAAGCTTTCACTTTGAAAGATGCAATAATAATTTTTTTACGAAGTTGAAGTTGTTTCATAGCTCAACATTGATCGTATTTTCCTTTTAATAGCTTTCGGCAGAGTTATTAAACTGATTGCTCTGCTCTCAGAGGAGTTCAACTTTGTAGTGCCAGATCAATAAGAACGTGAGCGTCCTAATTTATCAGAAAAGCTTCAAATCCTCCAGTGCAAGTGCATTTTGCACTTGAGTGCTCACTGAGTGCTCTCAGCTACTGAAGCACTGTACTTTGAGACTTTTCCCCCTCCCAGTGCAGCCAAGGACGCAGCCGGGAGCTAAGCAGCACACTGTATTAGTGTAGCTGCATGGACCGAGTAGTAGAATCAGATTCACCAAAGTGGGGAAAGTCCTTGTGCTGAAGACACCACGCCACCAGGGCAGTGGTTTTCCTCTGTGGCTCCTATGAGAAAATTCTCCCTTGGAAAGGTGATCCATTCTCACACATGCTCAGCTTTTTAACCACACTCAAGCTTGTTTATCTTTATACCCCTGTATAAAGACAAAGAGTAGGGTTGGGGAATTAAAAGCGGCAGCACATTTGAAAGGCCAAAGAAGTGGCAGTATTTTACTGAGCAATGAACGTTTGTGTTAACGTTACCCATGAATCTACTTAGTTTAAAGTAGATTTAGTGTGCTTTGGCTTAGGAAAGTCTGCATCAAAGTGATCTGCTATGTAGCATTAAAGAAAAAAAAAATCCAAAAGGCCCCATATTTTCCCCTTTCAGCAAGGTTTGGCATATGTGTGTGTGAGCCAGTTAACAAGTATGCTGTAAGCTTATTACTGGCAAAGATTATTACAGTTATCCAGACCTTATCCAACATGGGTAGCAAGTACACTAACTTATCACATATGTGCTGCTTGAGTGGGCTCCTCACACTCTACAGAAAAACACTCGGGGCAACCAGCCAAGCCCCATGCATCCTCCCCACTCCTGCTCTCTGGTGAAACCAACCTAATCCCCTTGCCAAAAATACCAGGGGCAGGATTCTGTGAGGATATGCAAGGAAAGAAGGCGCTTATCTCCCTCTAATACACCTAATGCCTGCTCCAGAACCCTCGCTGCTGAGCAAGCTGAGCAGACAGAAAACTCCAGTATCTACCTGACTTTAACATTATTTTCTGGAGAAGAAAGAACTAGCAGGAGCCAATCTGCAAGTCTGCACCATGGTTAGCTGGATGGATACAACCAGCATCCAATTCCACTTCATGTCTGGTTTTGTAGCACATCAAAAGACATGTAGGTCCTATTCACCTTCATTATGCAATGCCTGGACAAAACAAGGAAGAGATTGGTATCGTGAATGACACGTCTCTATCAGCCTTCATCACTTGGGAGAAAAACATGGGATGAAATCAGGCTATTGGTAAATAATGGATATGGTGTGAGAAGCAATAAGAGTTTCCCTGCTTGACAATGACAACCTCGTGCTTCTGGCTCATCAGTGATCCCAAACTTTCCCTCAGAGATATTGACGGGTGGTAGCTCTGTCAACTAAGTAGGAGAAGAAATGGGTCTCCTGCCCAGCAACCACCAGGCTTCACAGCTCACCTTCCCGTCTGCAACAATGGCTATCCCTGACATTGCTGATGCTCAAGAAAGTGAGAAAAGTCCATCTGGCTTCATTTCCTCCCTTCATTCTTGAATTAAGTTTCAAAGAGAGGTGATAATGCTCTCTACCAAGTGATTCAGTTCTTTTATAGCACTTGGTGGTTCACCAACCAAAGCCATTAGAATGAGGACTTCTAGACAAAGCCGTATCACCAGACCCTGTTCCTTTCTGCTCCTCACTCATAGCCCAGGCCTCTCAGACCACGACAACTCTGCTTCTATACACACAAGAAGAAAGGTCTCTAATGTGTTACGCAACCAGTACTCATACTGACTTGGCACAGAATAGCTGTTCCAGGACTGATACTGCAAATGGAAAGACCTATGACTCCATAACATCGTCACCTTACAGCCAAAGCAGAAGAACACATCAAGCAAATAGAAGGAAAACTCTCCACATTTACCAAGGATGCCAAAATACTTTGCTATTACTTTAACCCATCTCTCATTGCTTTGAAATCTCCAAACACTTCACAGACTCTGCTGTTCTTAATCCATCACAGTGTGCTTGAACCCTTGTACTGCCCAACACACGTTTGAAAGCAATTTCCCATGGTCTTCTCTGGGTTCTTCCCTTGGTTTTGAACATTTCTGCTCTGGGACACCAGTTATGGTTCCCCTTTTCATCACAGGATCACAGCAGCAAAGAGAGCTCAGTATTGCAGCTACCACCATGGGAGCCTGACGCAGAAGCTTATACAGCAAGAGACCATGTCAGGTTAGATTCTTCTTCCTGTACATACATGAACACACACACAAAAAAGCAATTTCACAGTTCCTAAGCATTGTATAATAAGAATGGACTACATTAACCATTCTAGAAACTTTCCTTTAAGAAACACCGTGGAAATGCACAATGGTCTTAAAATTTCAGCAGAGAAAACCCAATAACTTTTATAAAGCAACAATAAAGATGAATAAACAACAGCAATTTTTCCAATATTCATTAATGACCTTTGTATTTCATAAAATAAGGTGTGAGATTTTTTTTTGTTTTTTTTTTTCGATAGGAGGTGCTTGTCCACAGTTAATTTGTGAAAAGATACACAGCAAAAGCTGGGATGTCTGGGATAGGTCCCTAGGATGAGAAACTGATAGCATCAGATTGCTTAAACATTTGTCAGATAGCTGTGGAAATCTACAGCTCTGTTACGTAAAGGTATCCTGCCCCAGCACAGCAGTTCACTCCAGCTGCCTGTACCTTAGCAAGCTGGTGAACAACCTGAATACATTTAAGTTTTAATAATTTTCTCCATTATAAGGGTGAGTGAGCTGCCACCTCAGGTTTTACTGTTTTGAAAAAGAGAAACTGAAAACTTTAAGGTCATTACAAAGTCCTGCAAACCAAAGGATCTTGTATTTAACATGGTGCTGCACAGACTAAATGCCTTCCAGCTGTTGTTTGTTGGTTTTGTTGTTGTTTTTTGGTTTTTGTTTTTGTTTTTTAATATGGGAACCACATGAAAAAAAAAGAGACCTTGTGTTAGAGGAGGAAAATCCCTTTGGTCGAGACAGCTCTAGAGCACACTTCTGCCTGGTTTTAGAAAGGAAAGGCGACATGCCACTTGATATTGCTTAGAGCCACTTAACTTTGAACACTCCAACGCAGTCCAAGGTATGGATTTATGGCATTTTAAAGGAACTGAATTAAACATCCACTTGCATAGTCACCGTGTAGAGGACAAGAGGTAGGTGAACTGCACTGGCAAGCAAATTCTCTGTTGCAATTCTGAGCAGGTATAAGCAAGTACCCAAATAGCTTTGCAAATTCACTGTGTATCCGCACTTCTGCATATTTTATGATAAGCTTTCAACATACTCTGTTCCTGACATTACCTGTACTACTGAATGTCAAGCAGAAAATGTCCTTTAGAAGTTTTAATGCAGCATTGCTTCGGTTCACAGCACTGCCTGCTGTTTAGTGCCTGTCGATGCAGCCTGCTGATGAGGCCTGCTACCTCCAGCAAGTGCTTGTCCTGCTGGGGGACTTCAACCACTCAGACATCTGCTGGAAATGCACCATGGCAAGCTGCAGGCAATCCAGGAGGCTCCTGAAATGCACCGAGGATAACTTTCTGAGTCAAGTAATGCGTGGCCCCACCAGGGAGGGATGCAATACTGGACTTGCTGCTCACCAACCCAAATGACCTGATTGATGACATCAGGATTGGAGGCTGCCTGGGCTGTAGTGACTGTGATGAGATGGAGTTCATGGTCCTGAGGGATATGAGACAGGTAAAGAGTAAAATCAAGATGCTAAGTTTTATGAAAGTTAACTTGCAGCACTTCAGAGAGTCAGTCAACAAAACACCCTCGGAAACTGTCCCATGGGCAAGGGTGTGGAGCAGAGCTGGCAGATCTTTAAGGAAGCTTTTCTCAGTGCACAAGAGCTCTCCATCCCCAGGTGTAGCAAGTCAGGAAGGCATCATGGGAGGAATATAAGGAAGCTGCTGGGATGTGTAGGGATAGGATCTCAGGCCCAGCTTGAACTGAACTTGGCTAGGGATGCCAAGAATACAAAAGGCTTCTACACGTACCTCAACCAGAAAAGAATAGTCCAGGAGGCTGTACTCCTCCTAGTGAGTGACAGAACAGGCTGGTAACAACAGACAAGGAGAAAGCTGAAGTACTTCACAACTTTTTTCCCTCAGTCTTCTCCAACAACTGCTCACCACACAGACCTCATATGTTTGGTTTGACAGGATGACATTGGGAAAGCAGTGTCCTTCCACTGTAAGTGAAGAACAGGTCCATGACCACCTGAGGAACCTGAGCCATCCACAAGTCTATGAGCCCCAATGAGACGCATCCCAGAGTTCTGAGAGAATTAGCTGATGTAGTCGCCAAGCCACTCTCAATGGTATTTGAAAAGTCGTGGCAATCAGGTGAAGTCCCTGCTGACTTGAAAAAAGGCAACACTGTGCCCATTTTCAAGAAGGGTAAAAAGGGTGATCCTGAGAACTACCATTCTGTCAGTCCCATCTCTGTGCTGCGAAAGATCATGATGCAGATCACCCTGGAAGCTATGCTAAGGCACACTGAAGGCAGGGAGCTGATAGAAGAGAACCAGCATGGCTTCAGTGAGGGCAAATCCTGCCTGGCCAACCTAGTGGCTTTTTATGATGGTGTCATTGTGTCAGTGTACAAGGGAAGAACCACCGCTGTCATCTATCTGGACTTCAGTAAGGCCTCTGACACAGTAACCCACAACATCCTTCTCTCCAAATTGGAAAATATGGATTTTATGGGTAGACTGTTCAATGGATGAAGAACTGGCTGCAAATAGTAGTGGTCAATGGCTCAACATCTGGATGGAGATCAGTGACAAGTGGTGTACCACAAGGGCCAGTGCAGGACCAATACTCTTTAATATCTTCACCAATTACACTGACAGTGGGGTCGAGTGCACCCTCAGCAAGTTTGCCAATGACACCAAGCTGTGGAGTGCGGTGACACACCAGAGGGATGGGATGCTAGCCAGAGGGATCTAGACAGGCTGAGCAGTAGGCCCAGGTTCAACAAATCCAAATGCAAGATCTTGCACCTGGGTCAAGGCAACCCTCACTACCAATACAAGCTGGGGGATGAAAGGATTGAGAGGAGCCCTGCCAAAAAAGACCTGAGGGTAAGGATGGATGAGAAGCTGGACACAAGACAGCAATGTGCCCTCACAACCCAGAAAGCCAACCATACCCTGAGCTGCATCTAAAGAAACGTGATAAGCAGGGCAAGGGAGATGATCCTGCCCCTCTGCACTGTGCTGGTGAGGCATCACCTGGAGCACTGCATCCAGATGTGGAGTCCTCAGTGCAGGAGAGACATGGATCTGCTGGAGCGTAACCAGACAAGAGCCACAAAAATGATCCAGAGAATGGAACCTCCCCAGTCAGGACAGGCTGAGAGAACTGCAGCTGTGCTGGAGAAGAGAAGGGTCCATGGTGACCTGATAGAGGCCTTTCAGTATCTAAAGAGGAGCTACAGCAAAGACTCTTTAACAGAATCTGTGGTGACAGAACAGAGAGAAATGGCTTCAAGAGCCTTAGAGAGGGTAGATTTAGGCTAGATATAAGGAAAAAGAGACTTCCAAGGTAAAGCAGGATCAGGCCCTGTGTAAGCTGATCTAGCTGTGCATGTTCCTGTTTGCTGCAGGGGAGTTGGACTAGATGACCTTTAAAGGTCCCTTCCAACTCTATGGATTCTATGGAAAATACTGTGATCTTAGGGTAGGACCTTAACATCAAGTAAACTACAGTGAGAATTCCCAAATCAGTTCATAGATGATGACTTATATGTTCATTCACCTACAGATAGGACAGTCAAATGAGTTAAGAATATAGTTACACTCAATTCAAGGCTTTTCACATTTTAAAAGGGTTAACATTAACTCTGCAGGCAATTGAGATCATAGTTTCTTATGTAGCAGAACTCCCTGCTTTTGTACAAGCAGCCCACACAAACTGCAGAAACCGTGGTATGGCATCTATTTCAGTCTGGGATACCATAACCAGAAAGACCACAAGAAACATCACTTTACTTGGACTGTACCTGACCTCCAAATCCATCACAAGTACACCCTAGGACACCAAGTTTCCAAAAGGTTTTACTTACTTGTATTTTAACAGCAGCCACTGAACAAACCACAGTCCTACAAGGATCATGCCGTTAATTTCACAAATAGAAAAGGCCCATTGCACCCGATCAAAACGATCAAAAAATGCATCTGGTAGGGGAGGCTGCACCTCCTTGGGAGGCACTCGTTCGTGAACAACTGAGATAGTCACTGTGGTAAAGATGAAACAAAAAAGTGCATAAATAAAAGCCAGGAGAGTTTTGCCCCATTCCATGGGATACTGCAAGCGCTCTGGCTCTGGCATGGGGATCTTTATCATCTCCTTCTTATAACCATTTGGCACTCCATTCAACTTTGTTTTACTACTCAAGCCATTTTCATGTGCGGTGCTGTTAACACTGACACGGATGTGCCCGTTGACATGCCCATTTTTGTGAGCCTCTATGTGATGAGCCATTTTTAAAGCCTCGATCATGTGCAAGAGCTGCTGGCCACTGTCGGACGACACTCGGGAGAGAGGCGTCTTCTTGAAATCCTCCTCCGTCAGGTTGATCAAATCCTGCCCGGTGAAGCTTTTCAATGGCTCACAGTACTCCGGCACAGCATTTTCCATGAGCCAATTTGTCACCTCCTCAGGTGACCACGACACCACTTCTTTCATCCTGCCAGGCAGCCGGAGCACAGTCTTACATCGATTTTAAAGTGGGCAGCAGTCACTGCCGCTCCAGCACATCAGAAGGCTCCTCCTTGGCTTCATCTTGTCCAAGGAAGCAGTTTGGCAGGAGACAAGTCCCTGTCTCTGACCATTTGATGTGAGCACCCAGGTGCTGTGGCGAGCGCAGCAAACAGTTCACTTCATATTCATGTTGGCATTCTTCTTCCTGGGGAGGGAAAAAAAACCAAACAGGCACTTAACATTTACTGAAAGTTTGCAATTCAGGTTTAAAGACAAAATGACTGCCAAAGAATAGGCAGATTCTGGCTTGGAAAAGAGAGACTGATTTGAGTGCCAGCCTTGCATGCACAAGCTTTGTCCCCTCTGAGCTTGTTGCCAATTATTCCAGAGCCTTAACAATTTTTATTAAAAACAATGCTTCATAGCTGAGTTGAAGACTTCTTTTGCTCTGGACTGAACTGGACACGTGAGATACAGCTTTTAATCTCTTTCTCTGCGGAATCACCTAGGTCTGATGCTCAATAAAAGACGAAGCTTTGGAAGAAGGGCTCACAGCACTCCAGGTATACCACCTCTAACTTGGTGCACGTGCCAAGCACGTGCGTGCACTAAAATACACAAAGCTAACAAAGATAACGATAAATGCTCTCCCTTGCAACTACCTTCACTATTTAAATTCACAGGAAGAAAGCATACAGCTCTATTTTCTTTCTTCCTTTTGGCAGTGGGATCACATGTACTGAGAAAAGCTGTCAGACACAGATCACTTCATTATTCAAGTGGTGTTTAGCAAATCGGTGTTTAGTTACAGAGCTCCGAACATGGAAAAACAGGACTGATTGAATTATGCATGTTAACCCACATTACACACCCCAAGCAGACTCTCACCAGAGGACAGCTTGGCTTGATATCACACCATGCTGTGCTGACACCATGCTGTGCTGCATTGTCACAGGGCACCTGCGCTCCTGGGTCCCATACTGGCTGCAGCACAAAGCCTGGACGTGATCTACGCCACACTACCATCCATTTTGATGCCCACAATATTCCCATCTCAGGTGATGTGCCACCAAAGAGCTCCATCAGCTGCCTCTGCGAGCTTTGCTTTACAAATTCAGCACGGATGTGGGGCTGTCAGAGCACTTGGCACACATCATGAGGTGGGGTAGTATTAAGGCTTTTAACTTTTATAAGTTGGAGAGCAAATGCCAGTTTCGCAAACACACAGAAAGCTGGAAAGAACGAGAGAACATCTTTAGCCATTATCTTCCTAGCACATCAGTCTTTCTGTCCAGCCCCTGACAAAACACTGCAGCTTCCTGCTTGCTTAAGGAGTCAGGATCCCCAAGACACAGAACTGCTTTTATCACAGTGCAAAAAAAATGCAGCCAATCCCAACATTACATCTCATTGCTCACAATGTGTACACCTTCTCTTGCCTGGGCTAAGCTAGTAAATTTTAAGATGAATTCTACACGCATGTGAAAGAACAAAAAACTGTTGCCAATTGTAAATGCTATTCTCATACTAGCACAAAAGTCATAATATGCTCCTGTAACCTTATGAGACGGGCCTGGCAGCTCTGCGAGAAGTAGCAAATGTGTGCTTCTGGCAGCAAAACTGTGGGAGCCTGCAACATTGCTTAAAGAAAATACAGTCAATTCTGAATCATGTACGTGCTTTATTCCTTAAACTCACCATCAATAATGCCTTTAAGAGACATGATGCAGAAAAATAGATGGCTCAAGTCCTGCGTTTTTGTCCCTTTAGAGTATAAAAGCATTTTTTCCAAGAAACTGTACTGGTTTTAAAAAATGAGGAATCCTATCTCACGTATACATGGGCACACACCTTCATCCCTGTTAGAAACCCAGGTCTCACCTTCTGCAGAGGAACAGCAAATGGCAGCACTGGGACCAAAGAGGAGCTAAAGTGCACAGAGTCCCAGAGTCCCAGTCTTTGCTGCTCTGGCAGCGTGAGCTCAGCACCTGCTGGGTGAAATCCCAGCCTCTGCCACCATGCCACCAGCACATAAATTCCTTGGAGCACCTTTCACAAAGGCAGAGTAACTGATACACACGGAAGAAGGCTGAAAGTCTCAGCTTGAAAGTTAAAACGAAGAATAACATCTAACATTTCTAACACAAACACCCATTTCATAGCTTGTCTGAAACAGAGGGCAAATAGGCAAAACAAGTTTTTTTACCACGAGGTTTCTTTCCCAGCTTGTCACACGGAAAATATCTCCTTTCTTCAACGTGCATTGCTAAAAGCTCGACCAGGTAAGGTCTGCAGAAGCAACCTGAGTGCCTCATGGTGCCACCATTGCCCTAAGTAAGGTTTGCTCTTGTCCACAGAAGCCAAAGACGTCAGCCACTGCTGAAGTGCACTGGGGCTCTGTGCACTGGGTTGGGAGCTCAGGCAGGCAACAAAAATGCTCCCTCCATCTGCATCAGATCTGATTCATTAAGGAGCCGGTATCTGGTAATGAACTATAAATACGAATGTGATTAGCATAATGATACCAATTGCACCATCACAGTGACAACACAGGACAAAAACCGGTATCTCAAAACAGCCCTCACGAGACTGAGAGAGATGAAGCAACTTTGGCAAGTTTCCCAGCTCCCACCTTCTCATGTTTACACAACCTTTTCTCTGCATTCACTGCAAATATTAAAGGAACTTACAGATCCTCTTCCAATTTCAAAACAGGGAGTGCTAGTAACCGAAGCTCTTCCCCCTACCACTTCAATCTAACCAGAGTGGTTGGAATACCAAAATAACACCAGGAGGTTCTACAAGCACTAGGAAACCTTACAGAGCAAGATCTCTTTTGCATCATTTCTGGGAGATGCAGTTGAGCACAACAAGCAAATCAGAGAGCAATCAGCTCTTTGATTAAAGGACACGATCTGCCTGCAATAACACCAGCCATGCCTACAACTCTGCTCTCAGCCTGCTGGCCGAGGTGCAGGAGCCTGCAATTTTCCACCCACAGGTCTGCTTGGAGGATAACCAAGGACCCACGCTACCTGTCATGACCTTGGCTTTCATTTCAAAGTCCACCTGCTCACTGCTAAGCAAGTGCTGGACAACCCCAGAAGTACAGAACTGGGATGGCTGTGTGGGCCACAGAGCTCTCATCTTCCTCCCAAAGCTGGCTTGCTATATAGCACTCCTTATTATTTCTAAACTTGCAGCAAAAAGCATTGCTTCTCGTCATTAACACTGACAAGATAGAAACAGCAGAAAAAGACCCTTTGGTGTCCGTTTGGCACCTGAATGAGGAAAGGCCTAAGTAGAAGTAGGTGGGGAAAAGGGAACAGAAGTATTTACAGAAGGGAAGGAATACTGTTGTGAAAGCAAAATCTAGACCAGTGATCCCTAATGCCTTCCTCATGCTTGCACAGTGCTTTTATTCTCTAAGCAAGGACCTTTGCTGCCAAGGCAACAGTCACTATAGAAATCAGCTAAATAACCAGTCATCTCAGAAATCTCAACCAGCTCCACACAGCTAAGGAGATTTGCAAATCCTTTCCCATGAAGTAGGTGCATTTTAGTTGCAAACTGTGTTTCATTCATCAGCACCCCCAAAAAGCTGACATGATAAAGCCATTAGCAGAAGTATTGCTAAAACAAGCAATGCCTACAGATAGGTAAGCATGGTTTAAAGATAAAGTGACACCGCTTTCTCTCTTGAAAATTAACATACACTGCCATACACACTGATGATGACTGCACACACAAGCAGGAAAAAAGTGAGTGCTGTAACGACTGAAGTTTTAATGCTTTAGTAAGCAACTCTTCAGCCAATTCCAAAAACTCACCAGCAAGCAGAAGTTACATGGACACTAAATACAGTCTGGAGGAAGCTCTTGCCCTGCAGTTTTACGGCACAAAACAAACTGCTTGTAACAGCAGCATGTGAGTCACAGTAGTAGTCACCTTCTCCACAGGAATTTTGTCATCACTCACAATAATGCTCCCACATCTCCCCAACTGGGTGTCCTGCACCTACAAAGCTCCTCTGCATGCCAATCTCATTAACATGAGCTCACAAGCAATGCACTGAACCATCTCCCTCTCTGCAGGACATCATTGCCTCTAAACCAGAAATTCCCCTTTGCACGATACTGCACTGCCGGCAAGCAAGAGACTGCTGGCATTTTAAAACACTACGTGATACTGGCTTTGTACTGTAAAGACAACTATTTGCAAACTGAAGCTATCTGTACATATAAAATAGAGGCAGGGATGAGTATACAAGTTTCACAGAGCTCTGAGATAAGTTTCCAAGGTCAGCCCCAGATAGAAAATGCTGTCCCACAGATGTGAAGCTGAAGCAAGCAGAATTACTACTAAGACAAGACAGGCTGCAATCAATCTGCAAAGCAACTCCCACGTCTCCTCAATAGCCGCTCACACCGTTTCAGAGAGAAGAAATTGCCTGCATGCTACATAAATCCCCAAGCAGCCCGTTTTTGCCTAAATTATTCTACAAAATGAAACAAGCCTACCCTAGTTTATAGGAGCAAAGCAAAATCCACTCGCAGACAGGGATCTCAGAAGAACAGCTCTTACTCAGTGCCAGAGTTCAGCAGCAAGATTTCAAACTGAAAGTATTTGCACTGAGCCTGAATCAACAAACAAGTTTCAGAGAGGAAACACTGCTAAATCTGTTACACAAACACATAACTATACATGTATGTATTATACGCACACACCCTGTACTAATTCATAGAGACAATTTTTTCCTCCAACACCGATGAGATGGAAAGCCTTGCTCTTGACTTCTTTGTAGGCCTAAATCTCTCTGCTCAACTTTTCTCCTCACCCTTCTTTCTGCAGCTCTGAAGTAGTTATGGAAACCAGCAAACACTTGGAGAAGGCTTCAATTGACCAGCAAGCTCATTATCTGGCCAGTTGCTAAGCAGGGCTTTTGTTCTGACGCTACGGAAATCCTGCTTCTAGAGATCCAAGGTTGGACAGGATGGGGTGGGGAAGGTAGCTGCTGGCTTTGCTTTAAGTTTTGAAGAATTACTTCAGCCCCAGAAGTCTCATCACAAAACACAGGACCAGAAGAGCAGCCAGCACCTGTAGGAACAGCTAAGAGCTTTCCACCTACTGCAAGGATGGTCCAAGCGTGTATGCCATTTTGTAATGCATGCCACAGCACAGATATTCAAGTTCTTAAGAACTGCA